ACTGAAATAATCACTCGTTACAACCGAGGTATGCAGCAAAGCATTTGTGAAGCCACAACACACACAACCTTGAGGCGGATGGGCTACAACAGTAGATGACCCCCTCATCTCCCCTACAAATAGGAAAAAGAGGCTTCAATTTGCAAGAGCTCACCAAAATTGGACAGTTGAAGACTGGAAAAATGTTGCCTGATCTGATGAGTCTTGATTTCTGTTGAGACATTCAGATGGAAGAGTCAGAATTTGGCGTAAACAGAACGAGAACATGGATCCATCATGCCTTGTTACCACTGTGCAGGCTGCTGGTGGTGGTGTAATGGTGTGGGGGATGTTTTCTTGGCACACTTTAGACCCCTTAGTGCCAAATGGGCATCGTTTAAATGTCACAGCCTATCTGAGCATTGTTTTTGACCATGTCCATCCCTTTATGGCCACCATGTACCCATCCTCTGATGGCTACTTCCAGCAGGATAATGCACCATGTCACAAAGCTCGAATCATTTCAAATTGGTTTCTTGAATATGACAATGAGTTCACTGTACTAAAATGGCCCCCACAGTCACCAGATCTCAACACAATAGAGCATCTTTGGGATGTGGTGGAACGGGAGCTTCGTGCCCTGGATGTGCATCCCACAAATCTCCATCAACTGCAAGATGTTATCCTATCAATATGAGCCAACATTTCTAAAGAATGCTTTCAGCACCTTGTTGAATCAATGCCACGTAGAATTAATGTAGTTGTGAAGGTGAAAGGGGGTCAAACACAGTATTAGTATGGCGTTCCTAATAATCCTTTAGGTGAGTGTATGCACCCAAACATGAAAATTGTGTCATCATTTTCTCACCCTCATGTCGTTCCAAACTTGTATGTCTTTCTCTCTTCTGTGGAACATAAAATTGATGAACTGGTTTATTTTGCTGGCCTTACTCTATTTGATTATAAGATTAGTTGCAGTATATTATTTGCATCATTGTTTTTCTCCTGCTGTTGGGAAGCACTGATCTACAATTCTGGTGAATCTCAGCTGTTGTAAAATGGTGAAACATTGCCACCACATGGCAGACAGTGAATGACTTGCTAGTATAAAATTGTATCCAATCTTTTCTTTTTGTTTTTGAAACTTGCCGATCATGTAAACCTGGGAAGCTTTGCACAAAATGTGCAATTATATCAGAAAGTGATATGATGCAACTATCTGTACAAAACAGTTCACATGGAATTATTATATCAGGAATTACATCTGATCTGTGACAAGCAGTTTGCTCACAGTTTAAAAATGCTCTTCTGGGAAAAATTATACCAGTGGTTTAACCATTGTCCACAACAATATTAGAAGAAACAAAACTCTTGAATGAACAGCCTTGAAACACACAGCATTACTCAATGAGTTGACGTAATTTCCACTTAAACAGGAAGGCAGAAAGAGATATATCGAGTAGCCCCTCCCCCCCTTTAAAATTGTCAATAGTGATTGGTTTATATCACAGCTCAGCAAAGCTGCATTCAAGAGCTTGTGACAGTCTAAATTTAATATCACCCCCTTTAAATTTAATATGAAACTGTTACTAAAGCAAAACAGTGACCATAATTATGTTGAGGATGTGTATTCACGTTGGTGAATGGCACCGGTGTTATCTCTTCCACTCGATAGTCTGTCTAACTGTTTTTCCTCCTAACTCCTCCATCACTTTAAAATATAGCATTCTGTGTAGGATTCAGATGGGTCCGATTCGTTGGTGATCTGCGTCGACTCTGTACTCTTGTGTCTCTGGACCGAAGCAGACTCCCGACTCCCTGGTTTTAGATTGGTTCACGTTGTGACACCAACGTGAAACCAGACTTCATATTTACACTGTCTGACTCTGAATCGTTCCCTATACTCCCCTAAATTCTTGCGGTTAGCTAACATCATGTATTCATTTAAGGCAGAAACATTGAGCTCATTAAAGTCATTAAAGTAATTAACAGTGGTGCATGTTAATTCACAGTTGGCATCATCTGAAGTCCTTGAGTTGGCGCCCGCTCTTTGTAAGAGGCTGGATCCAAACTGAAGCTGATGTAGATGATCAACGATATTCGCTTAACCTGAGACTGGTCATAATGTTTAAGCTCATCAGTATATGACCATTTCATGGGGTGTTGAAATGAAAAAGAAATGAGAAACAATTGTCCTTTGAAAAGATTTTGATTAACATTGGTGATCACAAATTTGTGCTGTATGTGTATTTCAGATCCTACTCTTAGATGAGGCAACAGCTGCTATCGACACAGAGACGGACCGCCTCATACAGGACACTATCCGCAGCTCTTTCAGCGGCTGCACCACTCTAGTGATTGCCCATCGCCTCAACACTGTGCTGAACTGCAACAGGATCATGGTCCTGGACCAGGGGCAGGTGGGTCTCCACTTTCATCTGCTGTGGTTTTAATGATAATCATACAGTGACCCCAAAGGGACATGTTCATAATTCATATGATAATAATCAGCTCCAAAGGTTCAACTTTCAGTCTCAAATTAGATAAATGTGTTAACTCTTGAAAAAGCAGAATGGTGTCAAGCTTTTAATTCTATATATACACCATGTACACTGTAAAAATTCATACGCTTTATCTAATCAAAAAAATGGTGGCATTGATTCCTTAAAAGTTAACCATTTAAAATGAATAAAGTTTACACCCAAAAATGTAACAAAAATATCTGAATAACAGACAGGCGTCAAATATTAATTAAGAACTGTTTATATTTTATTGCCAACAATTTTATTCAGTCTTTATTGCTGTAATTTTAAAACAATCCTAAAACAAACACTGATCACCATAATGGTGACTTAAATGTAACTTTTTTTTGTTTGTTTGTTTGTTGTTGTAAGTTTTACTCATTTTAAATGGTTAATTTTTAAGGAATTCATTTGATTAATTATTACTCAATTCTAATTTGTTAAATTTAATTAAGAATATTGCTTGTAATCTGTTGCCACAATTTTATTTGATTAGATAAAGCAAATTCATTTTTACAGTGTATATCTATAGAGAGCTGTCAAAAACATTAGCATGCGATTAAAGTGTTGTTTTGAATGTTAATGTCTGATGGATTCTCATTACATGTAGAATGACTGACTCAGAACAGTAAAGTTAGTTTAAGAAAAACTTAATGTGTCATTTGTCTAGAGATTGCACTCGGTTTGATATTTCGCATCAAAAAAAACTGCCTAGATGTATAGATTATGGACTATAAACAGTAAATATAGACAAAGTTATGTTCATGAAACATCTTATCATTTTTGAAATAGATCTTGGAGTTTGACACCCCTTCAAACTTGCTGGCCAATGAAAACTCATGTTTCCATGCCATGATGGTGGCAGCAGAAGAAACGCTCACCTGTAAGAACTAAGCAGGCGTTCATCACACGGACCCTCTGCTCAACGAAACATTCAAAGGGACGAGAGGCCCTCCAACCTGCTGCTGAGAAGATATATACCAGATGCTGAGTAAAAAACCTTCAAGCTGCTGAAACTGAGATTTTCCGTTTGTTTGTTATACTTTAAGAGAATGATAATGTTGTTGTTCGCACACTTTTGAGATTTTGAGTTCATACGGTATATGATGTCAAATGGAAACATTTATGTTGATGGCACTTTATTTGTGTTGTTGTGTGAATAATCCTGACTCTTGCGGTCAGTCCAAACAAGTGTTCATTGAGTGCATTTCTCACACTGGACTAGGTCTTCTGCCTGTGTTTGGTAGAAGTAAATTTAGCACATTGATAAATGTAATTTATTGACGTTTTAATTTGTTTGCTATAATTTATGTTGGGCTCTATAAAGTATGCAAGATATGTATTGACCGTAAGGTATTATTGAATTGCCTTATATGCATCTGATGTTTTCATGCATATGAAGCCAACCAAAGATGACATTCAAATCAGTCAATCATTCCAGAGATCAGCACCAAAAAAGAGAAATGTGTTTTATTTTCATTATTCTGATTGTTTTGTTGTTGTCACTCATACTATGTAAGTTATGTGCCTCTGCTGTTATATATTTGATGGATATCTGTCAAAAGCATTGTGCAATTAGTGTTTTAGAGAAGAAAATGTGCAATTGATTTCTTATAATAATTCATCAAGACAGTGCTATTTTTATTTGCATTCTAAGTGCATATTTCTGTCTTAATGAAAATCCTAAAAGAAAATCCCTTAGATTCTTGAGGAGTGCCTGTACTTCTTCATATCAAGACTTCACTGCATGATCTCATTAGGAATGATTGACAGTTGTTTGTATTTCCCAAGCTGAACTGCACAGGTACCTGAATTATGCAGGAATTAAGGTCTATTTTTTAAGGAGTCTATTTTTATTATTATTCTTTAAATAAACTTATGCCATACCTTGCAGTATCTGTTTAGATATTAATCTTGGAAATATCAAGATAATTACAAATCAGTTCACAAGCTTAGATATGTTAATCATTAAGAGTTGCCTTGTTCTTTAAGATCCAGAGATGATAATTTTGTGGTTGTTTAACAAAAATGTTGATTGTTATAAAAATGTTTTATTGAATAAAAAGTATATTTATACATTTAATTGTGCAAGACCTTTGTCATAGTTGAAAGATAAAGATTATTTTTAAATGTTGTTCCTGCATGCCTTTAAACACAATTATATATATATATATATATATATATATATATATATATATTTTTTTTTTTTTTTTTTTTTTTTTTTTCAAAAATAGAACACTTTAAAAACAAACGTAATATGAACACATAGGAAAAAAAAAAATATTAATATTTCATGGTTCTCACTTTGGACTTAGGAGTGGCTAAGGAGTGGCTCACTTTGGCTAAGGAGAAGCCTAAATGCATAATTATAATTTGTCTATAGTCACTCGTCTAATACAAAACACAACACGAAACAAATTAGCCACAACGACGCTGCAGGAGCTCTTGGTCGAGTCAAAGAAGCTCCATTATTTTGTAGTGAAGGGACTTTTATGTTGTCTTGTATTTTCCCATCAATCCCGTCAGAGCGGAAGCATCGGTGAAGCTGCGGAGCTCTAGCCGCTGCAGCAGCGCTCTGGATCGGCCACACACCGGGCTGACATGCCGCGGGTATGATGGCTGCCTTCGGCATTCTGAGCTACGAACACAGGCCTCTTAAACGGCCCAGACTCGGTCCACCGGACGTCTATCCACAGGACCCGAAGCAAAAGGAGGTTAGGCTACTCTCCCTCTTTCCTCTAGACACATTTAACGTTTAAATAGTGAATTAAGAGTGTTTTTTCCAGGGCTGTAAAGACGAGGCCCTGCCGTCAGCTAACGACCAATAACAATGAACCGAACGACTCGACTAGCTGAACAGAAAAACATAATTTATTGCTTTTAAATTATTTCGGTCTTCATCTTTAGTTGTTGTTGCAGATGGCTAGAGAGACAAAAAGGATATTTTATTTGTGAAACACCGCTTTAAAAATGACGTAAGGATCTATATTTATCGAGCTTTGTGTTTAAAGCCACTTTCATCGTCGCAGTGCCATTTAAAAAGCGCGTCATGTGAAATTTCCGAATGTTAATATTCATTATCTTGTGTTTTTATAATAATTAAAGAAGTATTTGCGATCAATAAAGCTTTATTTAAGATGTAAACAATCCAAAAAGCCTGTTACTGTCGGGCTGTTTGTGTTTGTTGACAACTGCTCGTGGATTGAAGGTTTGTCATGGATGTGTTTTAAAACCTAGCGAGCTGTCTAGATTGGCAACATTTGTGGGCACCAATACCTCGTTCAGAATTGTGTATATTAATTATCTCAATTCATGGGGAAAAAAAAACGTTGTTACGTTACGTGCCTATGATGCCTATAAAAGACAACCATTATATCACAAACGTGTGACGACTGTTGTCAAGAAGATAGAAGCATGTAACATATGTGTGTATATATATATATATATATATATATAAATGTAACGTTATGTGTGTGTGTGGATTGCATCACAAATCTTATTTTTCAGCATTGCATGTAATCTCTTACACATGTTCCTGCAGATTTTTCAGTCTGAATTCAGTTTGTCGTCTCAATGAATTTTGAGCTCTCATAGGGATGGAGGACTGATTAACTCTGATTAACTCTCCTGCACACTAATAAGATATGCATGAAGTAACTGAAACTCTTTCTCGTTGATTAGGATGAGTTGACGGCATTGAACGTCAAGCAAGGATTTAACAACCAGCCGGCTGTCTCAGGCGATGAGCATGGCAGCGCTAAAAATGTCAATTTCAATCCTTCAAAGGTAAGGTTATCAATTCATTCAGAGGTCAATTGCATGCATGCATTTTAGTAGTCTCATCCTCATTCATTTACACTGGCGAGTCCTGTTTCTGCTTTTCAGATCAGCTCAAACTTCAGCAGCATCATTGCAGAGAAGTTACGCTGCAACACATTTCCAGACACTGGGAAGAGGAAGCCGCAGGTCAATCAGAAGGACAATTTCTGGCTCGTCACGGCCAGGTCTCAGAGCTCCATTAATAATTGGTTCACAGACTTGGCGGGGACCAAACCCTTAACTCAGCTTGCTAAAAAGGTTCGCTTTTGCCTTGTTCCATTTTGTGAAGTCTGAACAGATCACTTGTTGTATTTCCTTAATATGTTAATAGCGCACAAACCTCTGAGCATTACAGATGCTCTTTTATCTTGGGGTTTGCATTAGTCTAATTGCTGTGTGTGTGTGTGTGTGTGCGCGCGCTAGGTTCCCATCTTCAGCAAGAAAGAGGAAGTGTTTGGCTACCTTGCTAAATACTCTGTCCCAGTGATGCGATCTGCCTGGATGATTAAAATGACATGTGCATATCATGCTGCCATAACTGAAACTAAGGTGAAGAAGAGGCATGTCATTGACCCCTGCATAGGTAAATGTGCATCATTCTATACGCTCATATACGAATTTGGCTGTTTCAAACATGCAGCATGTCCTCTTTTAATTCTCGAAAGAAGATAGGATGTCCTCTGATGTTGTTGGTGCTGTGTAATTGGTCTTTGTGCTGCAATGACTCACTGGTTTGATCTGGCTTCTGTAGAATGGACTCAGATAATTACTAAATACCTGTGGGAGCAGCTGCAGAAGGTGGCAGAGTTTTACAGACAGTCTCCCAGCCAGGGCTGCGGGTCTCCTCTTCCCGCTCCTCCTGCAGAGGTCGAAACTGCAATGAAACAGTGGGAGTACAACGAGAAACTGGCCATGTTCATGTTCCAGGTGGGTGGGGCCATATTTACTTAAAGTCTGCATGAAACAAACAGCTTTTCTTCCTTATTGGGACATATATCTGAGTGAAACTGCTTCTCGAACAAGAACAAATGTAGGGTGGGGTTTGATTTTGTCCATTGGGAATTGATTGGATCATGGTTGTGGTTTGCTATTGGTCAATTTCATGTGAGTGACAGGTTGTCCTCGCACCAGTAAACGCATCATCAGGGAAGAAAGGAGATGTCGCTGCAAGTGGGAGGGGAGACATGATTTAAAAAAATAAGGATGTGTACGGATAAATCATTAATGTAAATACTGCAATATACTAGAGCTACGCGATTATTAGTTAAACGATCTTATTCCTAAATTACAACAATTTGCCTGCGTCTAAACTTTTTGACAAAAAAATTTAAAAAATCAAATCTGCTTTGGCGCTGCTGATGAGACAGAGAGAGCAATTGTCATGTTTAGGTATGAAACGGCTTCACAAACAGCCTTGTGAACATCACACTATGATTGTGTAAGAAGTACATGGGATAAAAGTTTATATTCCAGATATAAACACTGATTGTTTATGGTAGCAATCAAAATCATCAAATTATCTTTTGAATAAAGATTGAAGATTCACTTCAAATAAAGACTGTATCTACATCGTTATAACTGTAGATGGTGTTGTCATTGAATCATTCAAGAGATTTCCTCAAACACTGATTCAATCAGTAAATGGTCTGAATCATTCATTAAAACCATTTTTTTATAATTCACTCAAATGAATGACTGGGTGTCATGGTGTTATAAACTGTTCGAAAGTAGAAATACCTCACTGTCCTGTTAATAAGTGAGTTCAACAAAGAATATAGAGTTATGTCCCACACAGATGACATTATAAAAGGGAGAGTTCACCAAAAAATTTAATTTGTGCAAAAGCGACTCGTCCGGTCAGAAATTGATGTCATAACTCTCCCATTATTATTATGTTAGTTTTGCGAATCCTTCACCTGTTATGAATAATCTTAGAATTATATCCAACTTGTATTAAAGAAGATGAAGTCTCAAATTATTTGTAAATCATTTAATTAGTTGATGTATCCAAACATATGTATTGGTAAATCTGATGTGTGTCATTAATGTGCTCATCATGGCTCAATTATAGTCGTATCTTATTTTAGTTGATTAAATTTGGATGGGAGAAAGAATTGAGCATGAAAAATTACACACCTCACCATTTATATATATATATATATAGTACACTACCATTCAAAAGTTTGGGGTCAGTAAAATTTTAAATGTTTATGAAAAGACTCTTATATACACCAAGGCTTTATTACTTTGGTCAAAACAGTAATATTTAACATTTTATATTCTATTTTAATATATTTACACTAATTTATCTGATGCTTTTATGCAAAGCGACTTACAATTGTTGTATTTGTCAGAGCTTGCATGCCTCTGGAGCAACTAGCGGTTAAGTGTCTTGCTCAGGGACACATTGGTGTCACTCACACCAAAGGCATGTGTCTTATCCACTGCGCCTCCACCACCCACAATTACATATTTTAAAATGTAATTAATTCCAAGCTGAGTTTTCAGCATCATTACTCCAGTGTCACATGATCCTTCAGAAATCATTCTAATATGATGATTTACTGTTCAAGAAACATTTCTTATTATTATCGATGTAGAAAACAGATGTGCCGCTTAATATTTTTGTGGAAATCATCCTGCTTTTTTTTTCAGGATACTTTGATGAATAGAAAGAACGGCATTTATTTTAAATAGAAAACTTTTCTAACAATATAAAAGTCTCTTCTGAATAAAATTATTTATTTATTTAAAAAAAAAGACCCTAAACTTTGAATGATAGTGTATATATCATATGGGCTGATTGTTTTTGAATAGAGCAAAAATATGAGATGTAAAATTACGTGATACTAGAGACCTACCGATAAAGGATTTTGAAGGCCGATAAGGTTTTAAAATCCGATATATTGGCCGAGATATATATATATATATATATATATTTATTTATATATTTTTTTTTTTGCAGTAACGCGCAACAAAACATTAACAGATTTCCCTGATATTAGTTATTTGTAGTTATTTATGATTTTTAACTAAAATAATATGATGATGCATTTTAAAAAGAAACTTGTTTCTTTTATTGTCACAACAGAACAGACTGATGACAGTGGCATTAGCTAGCTTTGTGGTTAGCTAGTCTATGATGAGCCATAATTTAGCAACGGATAACGTCATACTGCAAATTGTAAAACATACATTTTCCATATAACAGGCCAAGGAGAGATGATACGTCTCATTGCTATAACTGTCACGTGCTATTAAAGAATTACTTCAGTCACATTGTCAAAAGTTAAAAGGACAGTCAGTCAACTACACTGTAACAACGTAACATAATTATTACTAGCTAATTCCGCTTCACTCTCGGCTTATTTAACCGCAGCAAAACTGGACATGATGGTCACAAATTTTGTCATGCTTATTTGAGTTAAGAGAACTAATGGGGATGATCTTTTAATTGTTGTTCAAGCAATGTATGTCTTGTGACCAACTCAACGAGTGTTGCCAACAGGGACGGTGTAGAGTGCCCTCTGGTGGACAAACTATACAACACTCATGACATGGTTCAAGCGTGTTTCATCCATTTTTATTTTATTTTCTAAATATTCATTTATCGGCCATTATAACTGCCGATACCGATAGTTTGGAAAATGCCTAACATCGGCCGATAATATCGGTCTGCCGATAAATCGGTCTGGCTCTACTTGGTACGTGATATTGGTCATGGTCATACCACCATTTATAATTAATTTGGCAATTTGGGGTTGGGATTATTTATTGTGTGTATGTGTACATAGGATGGCATGTTAGACAGACATGAGTTCCTCACCTGGGTGCTGGAGTGTTTTGAGAAGATCAGACCCGGGGAAGACGAGCTTCTGCGATTGCTGCTGCCGCTCCTCTTACAGGTCAGTTTAACACAATTTACCATATTTCAATGAATTCTGCAGATTGTTCTCCTGAAATCAAGGCAAAGAGCCCATTTGGTCTGTCTTGATGGTCATTTTCTAAATTGTTTTGACCTCTTGTCATTATTTCATTCAGTATTCTGGGGAGTTTGTGCAGTCAGCATATTTATCTAGACGGCTGGCGTATTTCTGCACGCGCCGGCTCAATTTGCTGCTGAGCGATGGCAGTCTCGGCCCAGGCCCGGGCGGGCACCCGGCCCACAGCATTTCGGCACAGCAAGGGAACGCTCTGCCCCCCACCCCCACCTCCCAGCCTTCAGGGGGCAACCAGCCCCAGACCCCCTTCACAGACTTCTACATCTGTCCCCAGCACAGACCCGTGGTGTTTGGACTCAGCTGCATGCTGCAGGTACTGTCTGAGGAGTCATTCCATCTGCACTCCTCTGATTCTGTCTTCCTGTTTATTGATGCCAGTTTGGTTCTGTTTGCCTCCCGTGTAGAGTATCGTGTTGTGTTGCCCCAGCGCTCTGGTCTGGCACTACTCACTGACAGATAGCCGTAATAAGACCGGCTCCCCGTTAGACCTCTTGCCAATCGCCCCCTCTAACCTGCCCATGCCGGGCGGCACCAGCACCTTTAACCAGCAGGTTTGATTTCAGTTGATCTGATACTCTGGCACTTCATCTAGCGAGTTTGTCTAAAGGAATGTGATGTTTTTCAGGTTCGGGCCAAGGTGAGGGAGATTGAAGAGCAGGTGAAAGAGAGAGGACAGGCTGTGGAGTTCCGCTGGTCTTTCGACAAGTGTCAGGAAACCACAGCAGGTGGGCATGAACGAGCTGTTCAGTATCTCAGTATGGACTTATTTTATTTTGGTACAACCTGTTAAACGTTATAATCCCGATAGGTTTCACTATTAGTCGGGTTCTGCACACATTGGAGGTTTTGGATAACCACAGCTTTGAGAAGTCGGACTTTAGCAATTCCCTGGACTCGCTGTATAACCGGATTTTTGGCTCGGGTCAGAGCAAAGATGGACACGAGGTATAGACAACGGTGTTTTCATTTTGTTTTATGTGGTCCCACTGAACAAGCTACACTACAGAAGTGACACCAAATACATTTGTAATGTTACAAAAGATTTCTGTTTCTTTTGAACTGCCTTTCTTCAGTTTGATGTCTAACGTCGTGTAATGTGCTGGTAACTGTAGATGAGTCCAGACGACGATGCGGTGGTGACCCTGCTGTGTGAGTGGGCTGTTTCCTGTAAAAGGTCAGGGCCGCACAGAGCCATGGTGGTGGCCAAACTCCTGGAGAAGAGACAGACGGAGATTGAGGCAGAGGTGCTGTTGGGAACCAAAAACACTATGAACATAGTTTAATAATGTCCTACTGCACAGTTCTCATTTGACAGTTTCTGTGTGTGTTTTTAGAGGTGTGGAGAGTCAGAGGTCGTAGATGAGAAAGGCTCTGTGTCATCAGGGTCACTGTCTACTGCCACTCTGCCTGTCTTCCAGGACGTCCTACTGCAGTTCCTGGACACCCAGGCCCCTGTGCTCAGTGAGTCAATATATCAGTGTCCATTGGGGGTTAGGGGTGGATTATACTTTTAAATGAACTAAATCTTTGTCTCTGTGTCTGTGAAGCTGAGCCCGGGAACGAGAGCGAGCGAGTGGAGTTCTCTAATCTTGTGCTGCTCTTCTGCGAGCTCATCCGTCATGACGTCTTCTCACACAACATCTACATGTGCACCCTCATCTCCCGGGGGGACCTGGCCTCCGATTCCCATCTGCCCCGCCCACGTTCCCCCAGCGACGAGCCCTCTGACGAATCAGAGCGCAAAGAGCAGGATGCAGGAAGCAGTGTAAAAATCGAGGTAAGTATCTTCAGTCATAGTGTAATAGAATTGGGTTTAGAACTTAGTCTTACTATAATGATTTAATTTGTTTGTTTCTTTAGGATACTGGTATGTCAGAGTCGATGGAGATGGATCACAACTCAAGCGCTAACTTTGATGAGGTTGGAGAGAGTGTTTCACAATAGATGTCTATTTTGTAATAGTGATGGTACCTAACCAAGGTCAATTATTAAATGCACCATTAAGCACTTTTACATGCACACCAGTACGCTGATAACTCTCAAAACTCAGCTTATTGAAATTGAACCTGTTGTCTGAGTTTACATGCAAACCAATAACCAGACAATGCAAGTAAGCCTGAGTGTTCAAGATGAGAACACTTTTTTTTTTGGTCAAGAAAGACACGTTCCTGTCACATATAACACATAAGGACACGTTCCTGTCACATATAACACATGCAAACTTCAATAAGCCGACAGAAAGCAAGTTAATGCATTTACATGTTGGGTGAAATCAGCGCAAGGGCCGAAAATCTGGCTGTGACGATCTGGTTATGCTTAAGCCATTACTTTACTCTGACAAAGAAAAAAAGCGGGTTAATGCATTTACATGATTATGTGCGTGGTCCGTTTATTAAGCTTAATCAGGTTAATAACGTGCATGTAAACGCACTCATTGTCTGAACCTTCAGCAGATGTTCTCTCCTCCAATGCACTGTGAGTCGAAGGGAAGCCCTTCACCGGAGAAACCTGCCCAAGAGCAGGAGAGCAAAAACACTGCCAAGGATAAGGGCATGGACCCGGCCTTCCCCCTGGTTTACGAGCAGCCTCGCCACATACAGTACGCCACCCACTTCCCCATTCCTCAGGTGAGCACACTGGGGATTTATGGAATTTTGTTTTGGCAAAAACAAACTGTCAATTTTTATTTGATCAAATAATTGCCTTGGTGTGTATAAGAGTCTTCGGTCCCACTTTAAAGCTGTGTAATTACAGATGTAATTACATAAATTAGTTACAGCTGTAATAACATGCTTGTATTTTAAAAATATAAGTACAATGTAAAAACATGTATGTACACAATAAGTCAATTGTATCAAATTATTAGTTTCAATGAAAGTACATAGTACTTTAAGCCACTTAATATAAAGTGGGACCGAGTCTTCTTTCAAAAACATAAAAAATATTACCAACCCCAAACTTTTTGAACTGTAGTCCACATGACTAATATTCTAACTAAATTATTTGTTCAGGAGGAGAACGCAAGTCATGAGTGTAACCAGCGTCTGGTGGTTCTCTATGGAGTAGGCAAGCAGCGAGATGAAGCTCGCCACGCCATCAAGAAGATCACCAAAGACATCCTGAAGGTTCTCAACCGCAAGAGTACAGCAGAGACAGGTGTGGCAACGAACACAACTCAAACCAACCGTTCAGTTATTAACAGATTTTGATGAGTAACTGTATCAGGGTCTGTTTATACAACACCGTTCTCAACCGTTTTGGGTGCCTGAAAACGATTCAAAATGCAAGTTTTTGAAAACAGTCTGTGTAAACAACAAAAACGCGAATCTCTGAATATGATTGCTGTGGTATGTAGCACAAATTATTTGTCCCAATCGATTTTGACTGCGATTATATACTTTAGCTTCATCTATTGGCTCTGGAGCGACACATTTGGATGTCTGTCTCTCCTCCATTGAGAGCGTTGTTCATTAATGCTCAATTTCACCCTGTTTTCCATTTTGCTGTTATTAACAGCCTTTCATTGCATGGAACCTCTAAATATTCATAGCTGTAGCCCCATTTCAATGCTAATAGCAATCATTGACTTATTATATTCAAGCTTAGCTGCCGACTCGGTCACAAAGAGCAGCCCTGCTTTTGCTTTTACTTTTTAATTAAGGTGTAATTGAACATCCTATTATTTCCCTCGCAGCAGACTTAAGTGTTACCTTGGTCCTGACATTATTCGGCTCAACCCACAGCTATTGCTATTTCAAGCATTGCACAGAACACTGACTCGACGTGAATAAATCACCCATCCAGCTGCTTTTCATTTAAAAAACCTTTGACCTCAGTGGTTGACTGATGAATGCTTGATGATGCACTTTAAACTTGATGGCAATCTCTGTATTTCATCTTCCTGATACTCTTTTAAGGCTCACCTGTTGATGGCACGTGGTCTCTCTCATGTGTGCTGTGAATTAATTGGTTTTTGTCTTTGGTTGTCTTTCCTCAGGAGGTGAGGAAGGCCAGAAGAGGAAGAGGAGTAAACCCGAGGCCTTTCCCACTGCTGAAGACATTTTCTCTAAATTCCAGCACCTCTCACACTTTGACCAGCACCAGGTCACCTCTCAGGTCAGCCCGAATTAAATGAATGAACTACTGTGGCCTGTTTGTTTTTCCCAAAGGTTTGTGTCTTAAGCCCAAATTACACTTTGGAATGTGGAAAACAAAGTATACTTGAGGCTTTAGAGCCATAATTCCATTAAATGAGGACATAATCTACCCTTTTGTTGCACTAATAATGTTTATTCAAGTTTTTTGCACCAAAAGCAGTTTCATTATTCACCCCTTCTCTTACTCTGAATGTGTGGTCACATCAGCACAATTTTGGTGACAAAATAGGTCTATTGTCAATGCATAGCAACACTCAAACATGAGTGCCTTTCAAACCAAGCTGCTTTCTGTTGTTTAACGTGCTGAAGACTAACTTGAACAAGTTTTTCGCCCTCAAATTAAATTCCCAATCTCATGGATGTGTTCTAGAAACGACTCAAAATATCAAACGTTTAATATCTGTGACTGGGCTGATTCATAGTCTGAGGTTAAGTTCTGTGCCCATCATACACGATGTGATTTTCTGGTAAATCTGTCAACCCCCCTGACTGCCCAATATGCAGAATGACTAGCATCAACTCCTCCTTTACTGATTTAAAACATTATTCTGTAAATCATGCCATCCCATTTGCTTTTATGTACGTTCAGATGTTCAAATAGGCTAGTGCTGTCCGATTAATCAAATATTAGACTTGCATGAAAAACTTGCTTACTGATTAAACTTGTTAAAGCATTGGGGTAAATAATGATTACAATATTGACCACAATAATCGATTATGATAATAATTAAGTCTTATATTAGGCTATACTGGTGTGTTTGGGATCTCACAGGTGTCCAGGAATGTTCTGGAGCAGATCACCAGCTTTGCCTTAGGGATGTCCTATCACCTCCCACTGGTCCAACACATCCAGTTCATCTTCGACCTCATGGAGTACTCTCTCAATATAAGTGGCCTCATTGACTTTGCTATACAGGTATGAGAGCTGATCCTGTTTGGAAACATAAAAATATTTAAAAATTCAAGTTTCTTAGGGTGCTTTCACACCTGCCTCTTTTAGTTCGGTTGAATCGGTTTGTTTGGGCTAGTGTGAATGCAGCTATCGCACTCGGGTGTGCAACTAAAGCAGACCAAACAAGCTCTTTCAAACGAACTCTGGAGCGATTTGTTTGTGGTGAGAACGTGATCCGACCTCGAACAGACCCAACTGCCAAAGAACTGCGCATTTTTGGACTAAACCAGCTGCCATAGTCAGCTGTGCTGTGCTTTATGGGATGAGAACTAATGTTTGTTGACAGTTTGCACAGACAGCGGAGCCTCAGAAATTTGGTCTGATGACCAAATTAGGTCCCAACTTTCAAAAACTCGAAGAACAGTAAAACCTTCGCTTTGTTTAGCAAACAGCTCGGGGAATGGGGGTTCTTAGATCTGTGGATCTTCCCGCACGTTAATTCTGACTAATAGAAGTGCAGTTATGGAAATGCGTTTAAGACACATCTGGCCAACGAGTGAAGTAAATGTTATCACTTGACTGCATTTTGGTTTATTCTTTAACTGATTCGGACCAGAGCAATCAGTGTAGTGTGAAAAGGAACCAAAACGTCTGAAAACGCTACAAAGTATCAATATACGGCCTTTGTCCGGACCAGATGAACCGAACTGCAGATGTGAAAGCACCCTTGTGCTCACCAATGCTTCATTTATTTGATTAAATAAAAACAGTAATATTGTGAAATAGGGCTGGGCTGGGTATTGACGCAAATTTCACAATTCGATTCTATTTCGATTCACAAGGTTGCAATTCGATTCAATATTGATTATTTTGGATATCAGTTGCAATAAATGGCAAATTTTCTCAAGGGAATCAAATCTCTTAACTAATGCAGTAAACTATGGGAGTCTAGTTGTAGCCTACTAGGCTTCATTAGTCTAATATGAAGGTAATAATTAACTGTGTTGTAGCTATACAAACACTTAAATTACACTTTTATTTATTTTCATAATGAGAAGATTATATGAAATATAAGCATTTAAATGGTGACAGTCATAAAAACTTGCCAGATTTATTCAAATATGCATTAAATATCGAAGAACATTAAGATTATAATGCATGTAATATGGTGTATATATTTAGCAAAATGCTCCTCTCTATTTGTCGATACATGCCATTGATTACAAGCTGTTTAACTGACGTCTTTCCACGGTTGAAACGCTGATTCAGCGAATCAATGTGACATGATACAGATTTTGATAAGTTGTACTCTATCTTTTAACACGCTTTCAGATGCTCATTCATGTTTATTTGGCGCTGTGACTGGTATTATTAAGCCGGAAGAGAGATCAGCGCTGCTGCTTCTCTTTAGCTGCGCCAGAGCGATCTCACGCCACAGCGCCAAAACGTTATTTATGTTTTTGAATTTTCGAAAGGAAATGGACAAAATTTTAAAATTGAGACTTTGTTTCATATTAATAGTAACAAAGGACAAAGATTATTGCGATTTTTATTTATTTATTTATTTTTATTTTTTTTGGATGCGTGCAGCCGCGATAAAATGTTGTATTCATTCAAATGAAACAGAATAACTAATCGATTCTTGAGATTTAAGAATCGATATCGGTTCATGAAAATGAGAATCGATTAATATCGAGAAATGGATATTTATTACCCAGCCCTAGTGTTTACCAGCCAGAGCAAACTTTTCCGGAAAGTGTGAGCAAACTTCAGATTTGGTCTGATTTTGTTTGAAATTACTGCTTTGTATATTGGTGATTAACCTCAGTGTGTGTTGGTCATGTAGCTGCTGAATGAATTGAGTCTGGTGGAAGCAGAACTGCTGCTGAAATCCTCCAACCTGGCCGGCAGTTACACTACAGGTCTCTGTCTGTGTATTGTGGCCGTTCTGCGGAGATACCACTCCTGCCTCATCCTCAACCCTGACCAGACCGCACAGGTCTTTGATGGGTATGTCATACTAATGTCTACTGTCCTCGATGGGACAGTGCAGAAGCATCTATTGGAAAGACGTTAAGCTGTTTGGACAGTGATGAATGTATCGTGTTGTGCTCGGCAGGCTGCGGATCGTAGTAAAGTCTGGCGTGAATCCTGCAGACTGTTCCTCAGCTGAACGCTGTATCCTGGCCTATCTCTACGACCTCTATACCTCCTGCAGTCACCTAAAGAGCAAGTTTGGAGAGATTTTCAGGTGAACTGAGTACTTTTAAATATATCTCCATATTCCGGGTGGTTTTGGTGGCATTCATCTCTAATGGTTTCTGGTGTTGTGTGAATTCCCACAGTGAGTTCTGCTCAAAGGTCAAGAACTCCATCTACTATAACATTGACCCATCAGACTCCAACATGCTGTGGGATCAGATGTTCATGATCGATGCCATCGCTAACCCTACCGCACACAATATCAACCACTCCATGGTGGGAAAGATCCTCAACGACAGCCCAGCTAACCGCTACAGCTTTGTGTGTAACGTGCTCATGGACGTGTGTGTGGACCATCGTGATCCTGAGAGGTTGGCATTTGATTCTGTCGACTATGTTTTGAGCGGGATGATTATCATTAACTAAAACTATTAAAAACATTGTCGTTGGTTCAAATAAATCTGAAGGGTACATTTAGATGAAAAAGTAAACTGAAATTAAAACGGAAATATGTTGAAGCAGTAAAATTTAACATACAACACTAAAAGCACATTAAAAAAATTGCATTTTTTTTTTTAAATTGAAAAATAAAAGCTAATTCGTAATATACAACTATCCAAGATACACATAAATAATACACTGATTTGGAGTAATAAGCCATTACAGTGCATTTTTTTGAGAAAACATAAAAAATTCATAAAAAAAAATAGAGTAACATTTCTTTAACACAATGATTGTCTAATTAGTTATCTGTTTACCCTTTTACTGTTTGTACACAATGAGGATGTGGCGACGTATGTGCACGCATATTGGCAACGGAAGTACGGCGAGAATCAACAGTGTGTCAAGCTACGTGAGCGGATTAAGCAACACAAACAGAGAAAGTTATTTCAAAAAGTTAACTTTATCAAATATTATCCGGCTACCAGATCCGTGTACTATAGTGGAGTGGATAGAAGACGTTAGCAGATGGCCAAATATACAGTGGCGACTGGCGAGATATATATGCGTATTTAGTTGAGAAACCGAGTGTATTACGAGCATATAAATCACTGGATGCTAATGAATACGTTGTCTGTGGTCATGTACAGACCGCCAAATACCATGACATAGACTCGACTTTTGTGTTGACACAAGAGAACGATATGAGGCTTAATCAACCATATTACCCAGACCTACATTTGTTTTCCTTAATTTTTCCCTACATTCATTCTTTCATTTATTCTTATTCTTCACCCAGACCTACATTTATCCTTGTCCTTACATTTTATGTTGTTATTGATTGCTGTGTTGACGCACTTTTGTTTAAAGTTTTATTTTGTAATGCTATAGTACTTTAATAGTAACTATGTTTCTTGCATACATTGCAATTAAACTACTTATAACAATTACAAATGAAGTTGGAAAGCACTGTGAATGTAGACGCGAGCATTTTTCCAATCAACTCGTTTAATCGCCTGCAGCCACAGGCGCCGCCGGTTCTTCTGAAACAGCCGTGATCCTGTCGGAATCCCATAAAACCTTGGTGGAATATCAATTAGTGCAACCTTAAACACAACAACCAGACATTTTGATGCTGGGAAACCGCTTTGATAAACTTTCAGAGTTGCTAACATGATAGAGCCAGTGGGAAACAATACCACTTCCGTTGCCAAAATGCGCGCACACCTATTTGATCATGTGGGCTGTAAGATGGTCTATTAGTTGCTAATTAGAAGGCAACACAAAAATGTTGATTATTGTAACAAGTCCATAGGCATCTTCAGTAATAGCAGAACAGCTGCATGGCATCTCTACAATGGTGAGCAAATGTTGTGCGTTTTGTTTCAGGGTGAATGATATCGGTATCCTGTGTGCGGAGCTGACGGCGTACTGTCGCTCTCTCAGTGCTGAGTGGTTGGGAGTGCTCAAGGCTCTCTGCTGCTCTTCCAACAACGGCAACTGCGGCTTTAACGATCTACTCTGCAACGTTGACGTGAGTCGCTATATCTATTGTACAAACCCCCAAAGGTGCAGTCATAGCAAAAAAGGAGTGAGGAATTAATCCCAGTTCACAGAGAACTGAGCAGCTTTCTGTTGGTCAGTGTGGCAAATTTGAACTACTGTGTGTGGAAATATTTCACCCTCACGTGACATTTCTGAAATGTGAAGTGTGAAAAACAGTAAATGTCAAAGCACCTTAGTATGCTTTCTGTTGTTTGTGCATATTTGTGCTATCATTGCAATAGAAAGATTTTGGTGACATGCCTAATGATGATACTCCGTTATGAGGTCTGATCGACTTACTGTGTCTCTGTTGCACAGGATAAAATGTCTAGTCGACTAGAATGGCTAGACGTTCTTGGTGAAAATTGCATGTGTTTTGTCTTTGGCAGGTGAGTGATCTTTCTTTCCATGACTCACTGGCGACATTCGTCGCTATCCTGATAGCTCGGCAGTGTTTGTTGCTGGAGGATCTGGTGCGCTGCGTGGCCATCCCCTCTCTCCTGAACGCAGGTATGGGTCTCCACAGGCTCCCAGTATTCCACAGCCACCTACCACACAGACGCTCATTCACTGCGTGCCTCACACTTGGAAGTGTAGGCGTTTAGTTTTTTACACTTCTATAAGAGAGAGATGTCAGTACTAACTGCCTGCCTGTTTGATGTCTCCACATTTCACACTGGGAAGCTCTATCTTTAGCAGCACTGCTGTTTCCACTGCCCAGTGCCCACAGATTCACTCTCTGTCTGTCTCTGATTGGTTCACTGCACAAGGAGCTATTCAGGGCGGCAGTGAAAGACCGAATGAACACATACTTTGTCATTGATTTCTTTAGGGTTAATTTAAAGGGATCATTTTCACAAAATTTATTCTGGTGTTGTTTACTCACCCTAATATCATTACAAACCTGTTTGACGACGTCCGTGATGTTTTTTTAAGTATCTGCAGAGCGCTGTTTTTCATAACGGAAACATAAGCTGCTAAAATCAGAATTCATTCAAATAGTGAAGTCATATGATCACTTTGTGTGAGAGTTTTGCGGAATAGTTCACCCAAAATTACATTTTGTTATCATTTACTTACTGTCACCAGTACCAAACCCAGATGACTTTCATTTATTTTTGAATCACCAATAAAGGTATTTTTTTAATATTCTTTCGTCACTCTTTTGTCCATCCGCTGAAAGTCTACGCAACCAGAACTTTAAGTTAAAGTTTTTTTTGGACAAAAGACTTGAAGTTAGAGAAATCCACATGAATCAAGTGGTGCAGATTTAGGGTGTTTTTAACATGGTTAGCGCTCACACTACACGCGTACCATGCCTGAGCCAATCGAACCATGTTCAAACCCACCTCTTCAAGCGGGCCGGGGCATGGTTCAGTGCGATTACACTAGTCAAACAAACCAGACTTTGAGGCTCAAACGTGTTCGGACACAGTTCAAATTGCTTAGTGTGAGTTGACCCTTAATACTAGCTTTTATTCACTTGTACACATTGATCAAGACACATACGAAGAGCTCTTCAAATATGGTTAATGGAAGCTCAATGTTCTTGCTTAATCCACGAGAAGAATGTCAAGCAAGCATGTTTGAGCTCCCATTTACCATATTTGATGAGCTCTGCATCTTCCTTCTTTGTGCCTTCTTTTGAGTTCAACAGTGGCATCATTCAATTTGTAATAACATGAGGGTGAGCAATTCATGACAGCATTTTTGTGTTTGGTTGAACTAACACGTCTGAGCTCCTTCTGGCTACTTTAAAGGATTATTTTGCCAGGGTGTTGATGAATTCAGCTCGTTTGAGTCACCGGTGGTGTGTCTGTGTGGTGCTGTGCAGGATTGTGTTCTGCCTCCATGCAGCTGTGAGAAATGATGAGGTCATGTTCTAGTGCCTTTTTATGGAAGACTCTGGTTGTGACATGTTCCTGTTTGTGTGCAGCCTGTAGTGAGCAGGATTCTGAACCTGGAGCCAGACTGACCTGCAGGATCCTGCTTCATCTGTTCAGAACCCCACAGCGCAACCCCTGTCCACAAGACGGCACCAAATCAGGTAACGCAGAACACACACACTCCCCCCTACACATCCCACCTGAACAACTCTAGACACTTGCTATATATATCCACAAAACTGAGAGTTGTATTTTTGTCCACAGACAAATCCACAGTGGGCATCAGATCGTCCTGCGACCGACACTTGCTGGCTGCTTCTCAGAACAGCATTGTGGTGGGGGCCGTGTTTGCCGTGTTAAAGGCCGTTTTCATGCTGGGTGAGATTTTGGGTACCTTTTGTTGTGCATTCATGTTTTAGCCAATCAAACAGGAAGAATAACATGTCTTGGTGGTCATACAGAAGCTTTAACTGTATCCAGTGATCAGAGAGCAAAACAACGAGACCTAGGAAAGGCCACAAGTTTATTACAGGCTTTTGGTAAAGAAGAAAGCCAGAGGAATGGGAATCCAGCTGGCAGTAAGATGTTTATGCCTACAGAATTTATGGGTGGCTAAAAGTGTGACTTTGTGTTTATTTTTCCAGGAGATGCTGAGCTGAAGGGTTCTGGCTTCTCCCATCCTGCTGGCTTGGACGACATTGGAGAGGATGACATGGGCTCCAAAAAATCTGGAGGACGTAACGTCTCTATTGAAACAGCCAGTCTGGTGGTTTACGCCAAGTATGTGCTGAAGAGCATCTGCCAGCAGGTGATGATTTTTAAGAGGATCAGATTCTCATCCATGGAAAGAGCTATTATAATCTGAATTGTAAAATAAACAGATTGAAGCTGTGAAAATAATTTCCTTGGTAAAGAGATTCTTGAGTTACATACTAACCGCTAGCTTAAAAACGAGGATGTAATAAAGGATGTCTCACTATTACCAGGGTTTCTGCGGATCCTTAAGTCTCAAATTAGATTTTTTAAATTTATGCCATAAAAAGTCTTATTTTTTTCTTATTAAAGGTCTTAAATTTTAGATTACACGTTGACTTGGATGAATCTAAATGCTTTCCAAATGAAAACTTTCTTATTAGCATACATTTAATTTTTTTTTATTTCTTTGTGGGTTTGTTTGTTAACGTGACAATTATATTTATAATATTACGTCTGTCTCCTGCACGTGAAAGGAGGAGAGAAGGAAATGGGTAATGTCAGTTCAGTTGATACTTGATACATATCATATGTATGGTCTATGAAAATATTGTAATCATTGTTTTAACTATGTACGAGGCACTGTGAGGCGAGCTGACATCGCATTTATCACTTGTGCTTTCACTGTGTGATGTGTGCAGTTTTATGTCTCCAAATGAGTTTTTGTCTTTTCATATTATGTTGTTGTTATATTACAATATCACAAGCAAGAGTGCCGTTTTCCCATGTACAATTGCAAATGTAATATTTATTTTATACAACAGTTAAATTATGAATAAATTAACATTGTGAGTTACATTTTAGACACAATATTATCAATATTGTTTATTTTCCCATCATTTCACTTATGAGATTTTCAAAATGATACCTTTTTTTTGTGACTAAAATACGGGTTTTGAACGAATCAGATTAATGATTCAATCATGTGCTTCTTTCCTGAATGAATCAGCTGTTTGAACAAATCGGTTGAATGACTCCCTCAACTCACTTATTAAGACTTGCCGCCACCTACTGGCAGTTTTAGTTTCATTTTTAAAGTACCCTTTAATTATAACGTTAAAATTAGAAATCATTTCATATTTAAATATTGAAAAAAACAACTCATAGCATTATGTAATTGTAAACGCAGTGTAAATATATTAAAATATTGAGAGATATTTTTTGTCAATATTGCACACCCCTAATGTACGGTCTTAAAAAGCCTTAAATTTGACTTTAAAAAGTGTGCAACAACCTTGTATTACTCCAAATTGTGTGTCCGTCACTGTAATGAACAAACTGTATTTTGAAAACAATGAAACACTTTTCCTCATTTAAGAAGTTTGCATTTCATTTTGCTGATTTTTTTTATTTATTTATTTTTTTTCCCTCTCTTTCAGGAATGGGTCGGCGAGCGGTGTTTGAAGTCTCTGTCGGAGGACAGCAGTGCACTGCAGGATCCAGTGCTGGGGAACATCCAGGCTCAGCGGTTACTGCAGCTCATCTGTTACCCACACAGGCAGCTGGACAGCGAGGAGGGCGAGAATCCTCAGAGACAGCGCATCAAACGCATCCTGCAGGTCACACGCTCTCACATGACCCCATGATAACATCTGCTCCGGCGTGGACTGAGCTGTTTGTAGTAGTATAGAGTGAATTTTTAGATATTCCCAACTCTATGTTGGGGTTAAAGTCTAAACCAAATATTTAAATATTACTTTAATCAGAAACACTGCATTATATAAATATTTAATGCCCCAAAAAGGTATTTTTACATTTTAGAACATAAAAGACCTCAGGGCTGTGATTTTAAAGATGCATGTTTGAATAGCAATGTGCACAAGGGTCACTTTATTTTTTACAGTTATGAACCTCTTGTCCAACAAAAGACAGCATTTAATAACATGCTTTTACGCCAAACTAATAAAATAATTTATATACTTAGAATGAAATATTAATTTTTAGAGTTTGATTGTATATAAATAGTAATAAGTCCCTGTACAAACAATTCTAGCTTCTCTTTAGAGAGTCTGTAATCCACCCGGCATAGACTCACAGAATCCTGTGGGAAACACTGTAATATGCCATGTTCCTACACATTTTTAAGGAGTCTTCTGAAAAAAAGTACTTGTTTTTGCTATTCCTTTAGGTGACGCTGTAGGTGCAGATCAGCTTTAAAGCCCAGCAGACTAGGTCTGCATACATGAAACCACGTGGTTTGGTGTTTTAGACACCTGGCTGCTCTGCTCAGCAATGCAAGAGCAGCAGAGAGTAAAAAGACAGCCATTTCCCCAGGCTTAATTATTTATTTCACACGCTTTAGCCTTTAAGCCATTAACGATTTGTGTGGGTCTCAGAGCAGCTCATTATTCTGGATTAGTTTTCATCTTCATAGACTGTGAAGACAGGGGTCCATCATTGCAATTAAGCTCCAGCTGGGCTCTTAAGCTCGGCTTTGATTCCTTTTGAAATGCATTCTTTCCATATTCCGTCTGTTTTTCTGCTTACAGAACATGGACCAGTGGACCATGAGACAGTCGTCTCTCGAGCTACAGCTCATGATCAAGCAATGCTCGCCTAATTCAAACTCAACTAATGTAAGCTCAACTAATGTAAGTGCTTGCCGAGTTCAACTCTGCTTGATGATTTTTTTGTCCTTTCTGTAAGGTTCATAATTTCCTGGTACATCTGAACCAACTCTTTACAGGAGCTGTATGCTCTTCAGGAAAATATAGCCAAGGCCACCATAGAAGTTTTCCAGAAATCTGCTGAGATGAACTCTAGTAATCCCACCTGGAATGGCTCCGCTGTCTCTGGCGGCTCCGTCTCCAATAGCAACAGTGCCAGCAAGCTGAAACCTGTGCTCAGGTGGGTGACCCCAATCATTGCTCTCTCCCTGTGGTCATGTTTACTTTTAGTTTGATATAGTCGCTTCTTGCTTTCAAACCACATAAATCAATGTCTGATCTGGAAGAAGAGATTTCTCAGAGTGTTTCTCAAATATTGTTGTTAATGTTTGTGTTTTGTTCAGTTCCTCTGAGCGTTCGGGTGTCTGGTTAGTGGCCCCTCTGATTGGTAAGCTGCACACCTCAGTGCAGGGTCACGTCCTGAAGGCCGCTGGTGAAGAGCTGGAGAAGGGACAGCACCTGGGACCCTCCTCGCGAAAAGAAAGAGATCGGCAGAAACAAAAGAGGTACTAAAGTAACTTATAGCATGGACTTCCAAGCTGCTGCAACAGTCCAACCGTGATGGTTTTATTCTCTCAGGATTCATTTAATAAAAAGTTCAAAGGAACATAATAAGTTTTCATATAGAAATCTTTTGTAACATTTATAATGTCTTTACTGCGTCTTTTGACTAGTGTTGGGTATCGGTTGGGTTTTATCAGATACCAGTACCTACTCTGTATTTTTTTAAATGGTTCCGGTGCTTAAACGGTTCTTGAAACAGTACTTAAGAATACGAAACCGCACACACTTTTTACAGGGCCAAACTGGACACAGTATTACCTTATATGTTTAAACAATATAAATACAAGTAACATAAAGTAATAATAAATAAACTAGGGCTGTGCAAAAGTTAATTGCGATTAATCGCATCCAAAATAAAAGTCTGTGTTTACATAATATATTTGTGTGTGCTGTATATAATTATTTTGTATATATAAATACCTATGCATGCATGTATAGGCCATTTCACAAGATGTAAACAACACTGGTCCAGAAGCACTTCCTGTTTCAGTTTTTTAACACTACATAAAAGCTGGGATAAAATACAACCAACAGAACATTTAAAACTGAATCAAAAAGTTAAACAACTATCTTTAAGATGTTTTCTTTACATGTGAAATAAAGACAACAGTTACAAACTGAAAAAGGAAGTGTTTCTGGACCAGTGTTGTTTACATCTTGTGAAATGGTCTATATATTTAATAATTATTTGCGCTTAAATTCTGTATAAATACATAATCTATATTATATAAATATTTTATATATGAATAACACATTTTCTTAAATATATACATGCATGTGTGTGTGTATATATACAAAATAATTATATACAGCACACACAAATATATTATGTAAACACAGACTTTTGTTTTGGATGCGATTAATCGCAATTAATTTTTGTACAGCCCTAAAATAAACCAATATAAAATTCAAATTCACATTTACATAATATCAAATAAAACAATATTGTATCAAACAATGTAATAATACTGGCGATTAATAGAGACTACTATTCCAGGGTAATCCAATATCGACATATCGCTACAGGTTCCCATGTTTTGTCTGCTTGAACTAGTCGTGCAAGTTATCTGGTCATTTAGTTACGTAGCGCTTAGCTTGGCGAGTTTGGTATTTCGTTCCCACTGCGTCTTACACCGTGTCCTAACTACATGCGACGCCGCGACACGCGATAAAAGGTATCTTTTCCATGTTACTCAAAGTTTTTGTCCTAACCAGACGCAATGGCGACACGCAAAGTTTCTAATTTAGAAATGGTTCCTATTTCTGCGACGTCGCGGCTGACAGAATGAAGAAATTACACTGGTTATGTTTTGATTAATACAAAGTATTAATTTATTTCAACAACCACCCCCCCCCCTTCCCCCCAAACTTTGATTGCAACTTTGTATCAATAATTTGTAGCACTCCATAAGAAATTAATTAATTTTAATTTTATGGTATTTAAAAATTCTCACTTTCACTCTATATATTGAGTGTGCTATTTGTTTTGTTCTTGGAGTCTAGACCAGTGGCGTAGGCAGAAATTGTATTTTGGGTGGGCCAGTGAGAATGTGAGTGGGCCTATAGTTTTTCAAAGAAAAAAAAATACCTCAATAACAATTAACCTTAGAGAGTAGAAACATTAACAAACTGCAAAAACAGTTACACCTTTATATTCGGCAAATCATCATGTTCAACCAACAGAGCTCAATAAAGGCTGGGCAAACCAGTGTAGACAATAACATGTCTATTTTATTCAGGCTGGTCAGTAGTGCCCAAAAATAAAGTAAGCTAAAATAATAATATCGCAGTTAGATCGGCGGGTAAACCCGCGTCAGGCAGACCAGGAGAGAAAGAGCAAGAAGCAGCCGCCGCGCAGCACCTGACTAGTCTTCTTGTGGGTTAATGAGTCTGAAGAACTGGGCTGGGTGGACTCGGTAGATGAAGGCAGTAGCGTGTTTTCTCCCTCAACTCTTGCTTTTTCCAAATAGCACATTAAAGAAAGTTGTTTAGCCATTATTGTGGCACCGACGCCGCTGAACGTGAACCATAGCAACCAATAACGTTCCGGAGGGAGCTTTTCTATAACTTGCTTTGACAGTTCCATTTTATTCGGGAAACGAATTAAACACACACAGCAGTCAACAATAAATCAAGTCTATATTCATATATTTTCTTAAATACATTTGAATAATAAATATAAACAAAAAATATAAAAAATATTTTTTATCAAACTTGCCTGGGCGGGCCAGTGAGTAATGTGGGCAATACTGGCTACGGCCCTGGTCTAGACATGTTCAGTAATGCAGTTTATGATAATGAACATGTGTGATTGAGTTATCAAGGATCGTCGTTTTGTTCATGTTTTCTTTTCTCTTTCAGTATGTCTCTCTTGAGCCAGCAGCCCTTCCTGTCTCTGGTGCTGACGTGTCTCAAGGGACAAGATGAGCAGAGAGAAGGTCTCTTGACTTCCCTTTACAGCCAAGTCCAGCAGGTACCTCATCAACTCCACCCCTCAAAAACACTGTATCAGTCCAAAGAGACGTGGAGCACTCACAATGTATTCCTCCATCAGATTGTGACGAACTGGCGTGAGGACCAGTACCAGGACGACTGCAAAGCCAAGCAGATGATGCACGAGGCGTTGAAGCTGAGACTCAATCTGGTGTGCAATTGTTATCTCTTTCTCTCATACATCTGCTTTTAAGCTAACAAAACAAGTACAATCTCTGTGTTGGTCTTCCTCTCATCAATTTCAATTCCTTGTATTGTGAGCCTGAGGTTAAAAGACAAAAGAATGTCAATAAGATCTGGTTATACTGCACTGAACTCATTTTTTCAATTTCTTGTCATGTGGTCTAGGTGGGCGGGATGTTTGATACGGTACAGCGTAGCACACAGCAAACGACAGAGTGGGCGGTGCTTCTGCTGGACATCATCAGCAGTGGTACTGTGGACATGCAGTCAAACAAGTGAGATCCGACCCCCCTCGTTCACTGCCACTGATCGTCTTTGCTATACCGTCTGATTTAAAAAGATGTTTGTTCTTTTCCATTAGTGAGCTCTTCACTACGGTGTTAGACATGCTGAGCGTGTTGATTAACGGCACTTTGGCGGCTGACATGTCCAGCATCTCTCAGGGCAGTATGGAGGAGAACAAGAGGGCCTACATGAACCTGGTCAAGAAGCTCAGGGTGAGACCAATACTGATGCTGTTTAGAAAAAGCCTTGCATTGAAAAACAGTCAAAGTGTTTCATCGCTATTATAGCTTTCTTTTCACTTTAAACTGATTCTAAAGCCAGAAACCCAAAGCATTAACATGAACAATACCTCATGTTAATGGAGAGGTGCATGCTACTGCTTTTCTAAGTGATCGCTCTTTTTCTGACTTAGCTCAAAATAGCAGAAGCTACACTACCACACTTGTATTCAGTAATTAAATTGATTCAGTTAAGTCATTTATAATATTACAAAATGTTTCTTGAGCATCAAATCAGCCTATTAGAATCATTTCTGAAGGATCATATGACAGAAGACTGCTTTAATGATGCTTAAAATTCAGCTTCGCATCACAGGAATGAACTACATTTTAAAATATATTCGGATAAAATGGTTATATTGTGAAATATTATGAAAATTTAAAATAACTTTTTTGTGTGTATTTTTGATTAAATAAATGCAGCCTTGGTGAGCATATAATAATTCTATTTCACAAACATTTTTAAAAAAGTATTTCTGACTAAAAAAAACATCCGTTTTGCAAGCGCCACTCAATTTTTCTTTCGAAAATGTAAGACTCCAGTTTGTTTTGTCCTGCAGAAAGAACTCGGTGACCGTCAGTCCGAGAGCTTGGAGAAAGTGCGTCAGTTGCTGCCTCTACCCAAGCAGACACGTGATGTCATCACCTGTGAGCCCCAGGGGTCGCTCATCGACACCAAGGGCAACAAAATTGCTGGATTTGAAAAGGAGGTAAGTAGCAAGCCTCTTTGGTGTTAAAGTGCTGCTCAGCTGCTGGCCACTCAGTTACATTTGCATTTGTTTTGTGACCTCTCGCGCACAGGGTCTTCAGGTGTCGACTAAGCAGAAGATTTCTCCATGGGACGTGTTTGAGGGGCTGAAGCACTCTGCTCCGCTCTCCTGGGGCTGGTTCGGAACCGTGAGGGTCGATCGCAAAGTCACAAAGTTTGAGGAGCAGCAGCGGCTCCTGCTTTACCACACCCACATAAAGCCCAAACAACGCAGTTACTATCTGGCACCCCTCAACCTGCCCCAAGAGGAGGAGGAGCCACCTACACCTGTGGCTCCCGAGCCGGACAAGAAGGTGGAAACAGGGAAGCAGGAGAAGAGCGTCAACAGTGTTGCATCTGACAGTAAGAAGAAGAAGAAAAAGAAACAGCCATCTGCAAATAAACAAGAGGTACAAAAAATATGTATATGTATGTATATTGAAATGCCACAAATAGAAATCAAGATGGAAATTCATTTGATGGTTCCTGTGGTCTAGGACTACAAGCCGCACAACCCAGGAGTCATGCAGTACACGCCACCCATGGACATGGGCATGGGCCAATCGAACATGCCTTTTCCGATGGGTTATCGGCCTCAAATGATCTATGCCCAAAACCAGCCTCTACCACCAGGTCAGCACATATCCCAGCATGCCTAAACATCTCAAACACATCTTCTACCTTTTCTTTTAACGTCTTCCACATTTTCCCCCTTAAGGAGGCCCCGGTTTGGAGCCCCCTTTCCGTCCCAGGACTCCTATGACCAAAATTCCTCCACGTTCCTACACTATGCCTAATATGCAGCCTGCTGGCATGGGCAACATGATGGGAATGGACAAGCAGTACCAGTTGACCTATAAGCCAACACCCAACATGGCTCAGGGGCAGATTCTCCGTCATCAGCTACAGGTCAGACTGGTGAGTCTGGTTTTACTAATCAAGACCCCAGACAAAAAACTCATGGTTTCCTTGTATTGTGCATGATTGTTTCATCTAGGGCGGGAACAATGCATCAACACATTTAGTTGATTTGCCTGGAATGCGTCGATTTATTGTGCTATTTATGTTCCCCAACGAAAAACTAAATTTAAACATGCATTTTGTTTTTTGGCTAATCTATATTCCTGTCAGATTCCTGACACAAAAACTGGATTACAATAATTTCCCAGAACATAAACACAGGCCAGAGAAGATGGGACACGCTGAAGACAGACGCAAAGAGCAGCGAGCTCACTGTTAATGATGCTTGAAATATAGGAAGAAAAATATATATATTAAATTGAGGGTGGGGGGTTTAATAGATGTATCTCTGAAGGCAACTGACTGTCTTCAGAATAGTTTCGATGGCATTTCCTTTTCCTCTTCCCTCGGTATAAAGTAGTGTTTATAAGCGCAGCTGGTTTGGTAATAGCGATACCCAAAGAAACGCTTTTCCTTAAGCGCCTCCTGCTTTCAGAGAGTTTGCCTTTTCATTCAGTCCGTCTGCTATTTTTTTGTGTGCAGATGTTTCTTTATGTAACAAAATTTCACAAAGATAAACTCAAAACTCTGTAAATACTGTACAGAATGGTCTAAGTCTTGAAATTATGCAAAAACAACTGCTCAAGTGTCTAGCATCTTTGTTTGGATTGTGATTTCGAATGCCTCTAATTTCACATGGCTAAAGATGTTTTTTAAGGCCAGTTTCGCATGTTATAGCAAATTAACAACAAATACATTTACTTGAAGAAAGAAAAAAAAATCAGCAACCGGTATTGGAATTGGCCAATTTGATTCGGCCATCAAAAATCATGATCAGTGAATCAGTATCGTTTTCATTTCATAAGTGGTGTTTTAAAATAAATAAATCTTTTAATATATCTTAATTGTAGTTGTAGTAAAAGTTTATATTTAGGTTAGTCACGGTTATTATTTATTGGTAAATTAACCAAAGGATTAATCCACTATTCAGAAAATAAACTAGAATAAATAGATTAACCAGGGCTAGATTAATCGAAAGAACAACAAAAAATCAATGTGTTAATCATTTGAAAAAATAATTATTTCCTGTCCTTGTTTCATATACTTTTATTTTATACTAGGTGTCCTGTAATTTTTTTTTGGGCTTGACAAATGTGCACTGCAAAGGCCCCGCTCATATTTAGGTGTCAAATTATCATAGAGACTTGGTGTTGGGCTCTTTCAACTTGACCACTGTTTCCGGGTCCAAACACTCCTTCAGATTCACACGGTGTTAATGTTAATATACACTCACAGTGTGCTGTTCAACTAGCAAAAAGTCATAATCTAACCTTTATCTCCATAGCTAAAACTCAGTTGGCCAGACAGTGACTACGTTTACATGCAGCCAATAACCCGTTCAAAACCGGGATATTCGCAATAACCCGGTCGTGGACGGCCATGTAAACACCTGCAAAAACCCGAATATGCTCATATCCCGGATTTAAAAAATCGGGATATTATACCTGGGGTACCCCTTTTCTAACCAGAATTTTTGGTCATGTAAACGCGTATCGGCATATCCCCATAGTGATTTGTGTTCTGCGCATGTTCTATTCGCAAGGAATCTTGGTCTTTTGAGTAGAGAAACTTCTCGGCGCATACAAAAATCCGCATTTAGTATACCGGAAGTAAACATGGCGAGACACAGCACAGTATACTTTTGGAGCGAGCTCAGTAACGAACAGTGGCGCTATCTGCCCTGACCTATTCATTATCCGCGTGCTGCTGTTGTTGTCCTTGGATACAGGAAGAAGAATCGGAAATGACGCATATTGCGTCTTAAGGTTGTCCGTACGTCTCGACGCTAACCGCGCATCGCCGTTTACATTGGGATATTGCAATTCCATGTATACAGGAGAAACTCTCTCTGCTCACGCATGTAAACGGGTTATACCTAATGTTTCAGAAACCCGAATAGTGACCTTAACCCAACCATAACCTGAAAATTGGCTGCATGTAAACGTAGTCAGTGACTGATCTTCTCTGAATCATTAAAAAATTGGTGGCTGGTACACAGTAAACCTTAGTCTCATGTAGCCAGACCTTCAGACTGACAGCAGAGACTACAGTGACCCTGGAGACTTTAGTTGTTCACCATGAGTTTTTGAAAGTTTAGGTTGAAGGAGTGCGATAAACGAATAGTGTTCATAAATGACTTGAGAATTAAGAGGGTTTTTCGCTTGAAACGGAGTAGAAGCTTGGACCAGGACACAGTATTATTGGAAGGTTGATGCGTCATGACCATCTACAAACACCAATTGCTCAGCGCATGCTCTAGCAAAAACATTGCAACATCCTGGTGGCACATGCAAGAACTGTCTAGTTTTTGTCTTCTAGTGATTGTGAATGTTAAATTCAGAATAATTGGAAAGGGTGAGGCATGTATGTTTGTTTGTTGGTCTTTTCAGGGGAGTCATAATCATTTAATTGGACAGCAGATTAGACAAGTGGCACCTAATCAACAGTATCCACCAATGCAGTCGACACAGGCAAGTTCTTGTGCTTTTACAGACACTTGGCACATCTGCAGTGTTGATTGACTGTTCAACATTCAGTGAAACCCATAGATGACAATCTAGTAATGTCATGTTTCTCTCTCTAGAACATGCCCCATGGCTACACCCCCTACGGCTCACACATGGGGATTCAGCCACACCCCTCACAGACCGCTGGAATAGTTCCTCCCTCGTACGGTAACCAGGGCTTCCAGGGAGGACATCCTGGCACCAACCCAGGCATGGTGGATTCTCTCAGGCCAATGCAGCAGAGGCCGAGTGGCTATGTGCATCAGCAGGCTCCCGGAACATACGCACACGCAATGCAGAACACACAAAGGTCAGTCACAGACCTCTTCAAAATTCTTAGCGCCTCATACATTTTCAGTACAGCCATCCTTCAGGAACATTATGCCGCAAAATTTGAAGCCGTGTAAAACAAATCATCTCAACTTTCACCAAAGATTTAAAGAGATTCAAACAGCTGTATTGGCATGGTGAAAGACATCTTGACATTACCAAAGCATTAATAACTCTGTACAATAAAAATAAAATAATAATGAAGAAAAAATCAAATTGAAATAACTTTCACCGTCTGTCTCAGATTCTCCCATCAGTCCATGCAGCAGGCGCCTATGATGCACGGCCTGGCTCCAGGACACCTGGGACCGCAGGGGATGCACCCCAACATGAGGCCTAATCAGATGATGGACCAGCAGCAGCAGCAAGCTCAGCAGCAACAACAGCAGCTGATAAGACAGCATCCAGCTCTCCGAGTGCGTACATGCACACACACACACCAAAGTCGATCACATTGCATTGTGGGATACAGTATGGGGTGTATTCGGGTGTATTTTGGAAGAAAGGAATGCAGGGCTCGACTTTAACACTTGTTCGCTTGACTGGGACAAGGGGATTTTTACTTGTCCAAAGAGAGTTTTACTTGGCCGACCAGACAAGTAGCCTTATTAAACGCCAATAGCAAAAAAAAAATAATAATAACTAGCGAATCACTGAAACAAGAGAATGATTCTGATTTTATTACATTTACTTAAAATTATGTTCGATAGTGGATAATAAAAATTAAAGGAGCTGTATGTAAGAATTTTTTTTTCAAATAATCATAAAATGGCCCTGATATGTCACAAGACATTAAGAAATCATGTTCATTTCAAATACTTGCATCACTGACAACAGTAGTCCAGCCAGGATATTGTCATTTAATTAGTGAAGTTGCAGCCCGCAACTGATGTTGATGTTGTCATGTTGTGTTTTGTTTTGTGTTTAGTGCCATTTGCGCATTTGTTTGATGCAAATTCGCGTCCGCGGCCCGAGTTGAAAAATCTGAAACCAATCAGGAGCCTTGCTGCTTGCTCACGTGGTGAAGTGTCTGAATGCTACAATAAATAATTTTGTAATATGACTAAATGCATGGTGGGATTCTTATGCACAACAAAGCAAATAGGTTAATACAGGTTAATAACTTTTGAAGGCTGGCTCTATTTATCATCAAAACAAAAATAAATGACAGCTAGATTAGATGGATGAGGGCGAGGGTGATCCTCGCTCCGATGCGGGACAACAGGTCATCAAACTGGGCGCGGGACAGACGGAAGTACCGCTGACAGCGGCCGTCATCCGGCGCAGCTCCTGGAGTGAGCAAATGGTGAAACTCGCCAAACGGTTCACCTCCGAAGGGTCCGGTGGACACATACGGCGACGATTGATCCCCGCGCCGCTGTTCTAGCTCTCTAGAACAAATACATTGAGGCGAATCTCTCGATGAATGCTCGATCAACATAAAAAAAGATGGCAAACGGGTTTCGATTTCGATCAGTTTCGCTCTTGACGTGCAAATTAAGACAAAGTGGTCAAGCATCAAACTAGACGTGAATTTGACGCGCTATTCGCGTCCGGTGTGAACATAGCGTAACAAAACAAAAACAAAATTCTTGACAAACTTTTTTTACTCAATGGGCAAGCATGAGAAAAGGCTTAATGTCGAGCCCTGCATAATGCATGCTTGTTGGCTTTCTAGTGACTACAGTGATTCACCGGTAATGTCAATGTATTGGTGCGTGTGTGTCTTCACAGCAACAGGTGCAGCAGCAACAGCAGCAGGTTCAACAACAAGTGCAGCAGCAACAGCAGGTTCAGGTGCAGCAGCAGCAGCAACAACAGCAGCAGCAGGTCCAGCAGCAACAGCAGGTTCAGCAGCAGCAGGTTCAACAACAACAACAACAACAACAACAACAGCAGCAGCAACAGCAGGCATCAGCCCAGCCTCCCGCTCAGGCCCTGGGCATGCAGGCTCTGCCCCCGCAGCAGCCCATGGTAAGAACAACTTACAAAAAGGTGTGGGAAAGGGCTCATTATAAAACTCTTTTAGCAGCCTCTTGTGGCTTATTGGTTTACGTTTGTGGATTTTTAGACATGTAATTCTGTGTCATTATTTTTGGTGTCAGTTCCCACGGCAAGGCATGCAGCAGACCCAGCAGCAGCAGCAGACTGCAGCCCTGGTCCGACAGCTCCAGCAGCAGCTCTCAAGTATGTCTTTACACTACTCCGTTTCAAACAGCCATGTTAAGGGTGTCACGATTTCAAAATCGACCAAAATTAATTCACAGTCTCGAACTTGGAATTAAAAAATGGAATCGTCGATGCTGCCACGCCCCCACGTCACGTCCGGTCGGCTTGCCAAGTGGAAAAAAAAAACGTGTGATGAAGTGCTGCTAGTCTATGGTCAACCTCCTCTAACTTAGCTACAGCCATTCAAAAGATAGCATGGCAACTGCAGGTGCAGGAGACCCATCGACAGAACGTGAACCCCATCCTCTTTCATTGAAGTCGCAGGTGTGGAAGTTTTGGGGATTTCCAGTGAGTTTGTTGACAACGTTCGCGCTTCAAAAAAGCCACAGTTTGCAGATATCCCAAGTCTCGCGGAAGTTCCGGGAGTCTCTCGTGTATTGATAGCGGCTCCCTGATGCACGCAAATTAGTTAAAATTTCCCGGAATCAAGAGCGAGCATGTGGACAAAACAAACTGTGCTCCAAACTGTATTGTGTGCACGGCAGAGAGGGAGAGAGGGACAGAGCGAGAGACCTTGCATGTCTGTCTCATGAAGTGCATGTCAGACAGAGAGCATCCTGATTGGCCGGTTTCGGCTTTAAAAAAATAAATGTAAAAATCGAGAATCGAAGTGTGACCTTAGAATCGAAAATGTAATTGATTCGAGGATTTGGAGAATCGTGACACCCCTAGCCATGATACACAGCTCATATGTTTGCTGCATACACATTGCCTTCATAAAAGGTTTTTAAATGCTCACGGCAGGATGTTGGACAATATCAACATAAATAATGGTCATTTCTTGCTATAAATGCATGAAAATAACTAGTAATATAGTCACGGCACAGACACCCCTTTGGGAATAAAAAAACAATAATCTGGGTCATTGCACATTTATTCCTTTAACTGTTTAACTGCCAGTTAAGGTTATTACAAAACAGATAACACAGTACAGTTTTGACGTCAACGCTTTTTAGCGTAGATGTACAAGCCTTTCAAAGTGTACTCCATTTGTTAGCATGCACGATCGACATATGCACACTAGAATGTTTCGGCTTTGTCAAGTGTCTGCAGTTTTTATCTACAGAAGTCGAGCAGTGTTAAACAAGTCTAGTTCACTAATAATTGGTTAGAATACATTTCATATTTTTACAAAAAAAAAATTCCATCTAAACTCACAACACAACACTCGTTTCATGAATTTTGAGTATTCTAAACAAGCGGCCACATGCCGTAGGTTAGTTATGCAATCTTGCCGGAAACAGATCCTCGAAACTAGTTCAAACACAAACTTTAATACAGATCATTTCATTAGCCAGATCTATATAGTCGTATCTGTGTCTGATACAGAGAAAACTCACAGTTCAAGCTATAATTGCAGCATTTCTTTCTTGTTTGTATATATGATGAAATATATTTAAGATATCTATATATTCAATTTTATCTTAAAGGAGTGGTGTCACTTTTGAAAAAACTTTTGCTGATAATTTACTCACCCCCATGTCATCCAAGATGTCCATGTCTTTCTTTCTTCAGTTGAAAAGAAATTAAGGTTTTTGATGAAAACATTCCAGGATTTTCTCCATATAATGGACTTCATTGGGAAGCAAATGGTTCAAGGTCCAAAAGACAGTTTCAGTGCAAACTGCAAACTGTTCAAAGGGCTTTAAACGATTCCAGACGATGAATAAGGGTCTTGTCTAGGACCCTTCGAGTCATGAATCAAAAAAAGATTCGTTCATTTTGATATTGATGATCAAGTTTGAACAGAAGAGTCACAAATGCTCATCACAGAACAGAGCAAGGCGAGCATTTGTGCATATAAAATTTAAACTTTTTTTATTTATTTATTAAATGAGCGATCGTTTCGCTAGATAAGACCCTTATTCATCGTCTGGTGTCATTTAAAGCTTTTTGAAGCTGCACTGAAACTCTCATTTGGACCTTGAACTGTTTGGTTCCCATTGAACTCCATTATATGGAGAAAATGCTGGAATGTTTTCATCAAAAACCTTCATTTCTTTTCGACTGAAGAAAGAAAGACATGGACATCTTGGATGACATGGGGGTTAGTAAATTATCAGCAAACGTTTTTTCAAAAGTGAACTACTCCTTTAACATGATTATAAGGCGACCAGAGTGATTTTTGTGTATGTGTGATTTTAGTCATTCCTATTTGTCTGTTTATTAAAAAAAAATTAAGTTCAAAGGGTTTTGATGAATCATATATTGTTTTTGAAAACATTCCTACACAGATTTCATGCACTCATTTGTGAGTATGCTTAGTGAATGAGACCATTGTCTTCTCGTTTAAGTTTTTGTCAACATGGCCGTCTATTGTTATTGTGGTCTCCCACAGATTGTTGTTGTTCAGTGTTTTTTTGTTTTTTAGTGTAAGATTGGGCTGAGCCATTGTTGCCACCTGGTGGACCAACCGATTGTCCAAAAAAAAAAACAGGTGCATGTGCCAGCCGAGTAACTGTGCTGATTACGAAATGTAATTCAGGCAAACTGTATGCATACCCTAGTGTACGTGTGAAAATGGAGTATACTTTGGGCTTTAAGAGATGCCTTTCAAGTAGTTCTAACATTAGTATTTGCTTTAATATGTTCCAAATTCATTGTTTTTATGCTTAGTGCTGTTCCTTATAATGCAAAGAATTCACACACAAAAATAAACAAATACGATTGCATTCATTTTCTTTACTAAAATTATTTTTTTCTTTTCCCAGATACTCAACCTGGACAAAACACCAACTCATATTACTGAGCATGAATGAATTTCAGTGGTGGCAAAGAATGATTTTGTGTCCACATAAGCGGACCTTTGTGAGATGAGGAACTCCTGAAAGAAGCCCACAGGGCTGGATCTAGAGTAGAGGCAAACGTTGTTTTTCAGACATGCATTTCTGAAAGTCATAGAAGCTTTGTTCTGTGAAACATTGAGGTGAACAGTGAAAGTTTATGTAAAAAGAAGTACAGGAAATTATAAAAAATATTGCAACTTTTTTATTTTATTTCAATTTGTACAATTTTTCAGTTTCGTGTATTTCTCATTAAAAAAAAAACCATGTCACTTTTTAAACCTTGTCTTACATTGTCGAAACATTATAGTGTTACCGTAAAGGGATATTTCACCCAAAAATGACTCACCCTCATGTCGTTCCACACCTGGAAGCCATTTGTGATCACAAATGAAGATCGTTTCAATGAAATCGCAGTCCCTCCATTGACAGCTACATAACTACCACTTTGACGCTTCAAAAAGATATCGTAAAACTAATCCATATGAAGTGAGTGGTTTAGTCTGAAGAGACTTGATCGCTTTACATGAATAACAGATTTAATTTAGCCTAAATTCAATCAAGCTATCATGTGTCTCCAGAAAATTTGAACTAATACACTCAATTCATTTGTATTAGATTTACAATCTCTTTATGAAGCGTCAAAGTGCTAGTTACGTAGCCATGGAAGCTTGTTTCCGCCACAGAATAAAAACGTTTAAAAGATAATTGCGAGTTTATATCTTGTAATTCTGACTTATTTCACGCAAATCTGAGAAATGGTCTCAAATTGTGTGTTATAGTCAAAATCGTAATTGTAACTCACAATTTTGATATCTTTTCTCAGAATTGTAAGATAGAAACTCGCAATCGCGAGTTATAAAGTTTAATTCTACGAGAAAAAAGTTGCAATTACCTTTTTTTATTCTGTGGCAGAAACAAGCTTCCATACGTAGTTGTCAATGCAGGGACAGAAATCTCTCAAATTTCATCAAAAAGATCTTCATTTGCGTCCCTTGTGGGTTTTAAACAAGTAATTAATGACAATTTTAATTTTGGGGGAACTATCCCTTTAAATCATTCCAAAAAAATTCTATGATTTTCATCTTAACCCATAGTACCCCAACACCATCATTCACCACGGCTATTACTATATTTGGTAGAATTGGTTTGAATTGCTAAAGTATGCACTAAGATTTTGACTTGTTGGGAATCCCTTTCGCTTGGCTCCTCTCAAGGCGATTAAACAACACTCCCAAGTCGGGACCCAGCACTCTTCCTTCTAAAACACAGTCTCTTCCTTCACATTTCATCAGGAAGTTGAGAGAATCCCAGTTTCTCTCCTCAGGCATGACTCCCAACCTAGATAAAATTCTGTCTGCAAGATCTGGCACCACGGGTTGCAGGAGTATCCCATACATCCTGAGGCACTCTAAAGACACGTGAAGGATGGTGTCAAGCCACTGCTGGTCTCCAGGATTGTTCCGGTCCAGCTTCCACGGTGCATGTCTTTGAACAAACGCATTAGTCATCCGCACGCATGCGCTAATGGCCTCCAGTGCTTTATATATTTGTAGATTCTCAAAGTGCTGCTCAACTAAGACAGGAAGCGCAGATACGGCCTCCACCATTCTGTAGTCTTCTGGGACGGCTTTTCCACGAAGCGCTTCAGATGGGTCCTTTGGGAAGCAGGAGTTGCAGAACTGAGGATACACCTGCGTGGGGTTGAGTGAGGGCGCAGTGCAGCGGTTTAAAAGCCCACCGAGAGCATCCGCTAACTCGCTGTTGCACATCTTTATGACTTTATCGTCATAATAGTCACAGTCCGAGTCAGGAACCCCTTGCCTCAGAAGGAAGTAGCGCAGGCCGTCCACGGTGAACTTCTTTATGGCGTCCAATGGGTTGATCACGTTTCCAAGACTCTTGGACATTTTCTTTCCTTCCACAGTCCAGTGAGAGTGCACGAATATGGTCTGAGGAAGAGGTAATCCTGCAGCCAAGAGAAACGCCGGCCAGTATATCGCGTGGAACTTAAGAATGTCCTTACCGACAACGTGATGGACAGCCGCCCACCACTGGGAGTGATTCTGTGGGTAACCAACAACGGTCAAGTAGTTCACCAGAGCATCCAACCACACGTAGATGATTTGTTCCGGATCTCCAGGGACTGAAATACCCCACTGGAGGCGGCTTTTTTGGCGGGATACTGACAGGTCTGGGATATCGTCCTCCAGCCACTGAAGAACCAAGTGATGAAACTTCACAGGCTGGATGATATTTGGGTTTAATCGGAGCCAATGAAGCAATTTGGTGCGGAAATCCGATAGGCGGAACATGTAATTGTCCTCCTTCATCCACTCCACCTGTAAATGAGGATAGAGAAATGATCTTATACCACTTTGAAAATCTTCAGAAGATTGGTTTGGTGTTGTATGTCAGCACTAATTATAGGCTGGTATATTAGAGATCTAACCGAATACTTTTGGCGCTTTTCCACTACACAGTACCAGCTCGACTTGCCTTTGTTTGGTTTTCCAATGTGTAAAAGTTGTACCTGTTCCTGCTTTTGGGTACTTTTTTTTGTACCAGAACCTCCGGCGAGGTTCTGAGCGAGCTAAGCCGATACTAAAATGTGACGTGAAAACAATGGCGACTGCTGATTGGTCAGAGAGAATCGTCACCATTCACAGCGTCATCATTACACACGTCAGATGGAGTATCCAGAATAACCCCGCCATTTTTAAATAGTTTGGCCAGAGATAGTTACTAAACTAACTACTATTATTATGGCAACTCGGAAGAATACGCCGTGGTCAAACGAGGAGACGCAGACTTTCCTTTGTTTGGTGGCTGAAGAGAGGATCCTGAGAAAGATTGATGGGGCAACAAGGAACAAGGCATCGCTATGACGACCGGGTACTATTTGTGGCGGTAATGTCTGCAATGGAAAACTGCTAATTTATAATTTATAATTCTAAAATTGCTAATTTCTCTGGATGGAAACATTTTGGGATAATGGAAGTACACAAGCAAAAAAAAAAATAGTTTTGGGATATTATAATCCTGTTTTTTTTTTTTTTATCAATATAACACATGACTGGGATGGGTTTGAAATCCCAGAATGTAAATCTAAATCTAAATGTAATCAAGTAATTGAAGCTACATTTGTCATTGACCCATTATTTGTTGGTTTTTTTTAATATTAATTTTTACTCAATTTGTTCTGTACAGTTAGGTTTAGTTTAATATATATTTAATTTAATTAATATAATTTCTATATTTTTTCAGACATTTTAATATAATATTTACATTTTAATTTAATATATAATTAATATTTATTTCTAGAATTTCTATATTTTTTCATACATTTTAATATAATATTTACATTTTAATTGCTTTTAGAAAAAAATATTCCTAATTTTTTCTATGGCCCTGTTAGCACCCTCCCCACCCCAAATTAAAAACTAGCAGATGCAAACCACTGACATAGGCTTTAATTCAAGAACAGGATGGATTGTTACCTTGTGGCCGCTCTCAGTGGATACTTTGATCTGTCGTCCCTCGGAGTCTGTTCTGTCGGTGACTTGAGTTGGTGTAAGAAAACTTTCATCTGGAGTGGAGTACCAGCCTTCATAAGTGCCTTTGTAGATGAAGCCTTTGCTATGGAGAACAGTCCAGAAGTGTTCAACAGCCTGTCGATGTCTTTCCTCTGTTGTCCGAATGTAGTCCGTGTATAAAATACCACATCTTTGGAAAACATGCTTAAAACTCTCTGATACCTCAGTGCAGAAGTTCAGAGGGTCTTTTCCCGCATTGCTCGCTGCCTGTTGGATTTTAAGACCATGTTCATCTGTACCTGCAGGGCACAAACAAACAACCTTACTTCAGCAAACTGATCTCTGGGGCCAGTTGCATAAACACTCAGACGCCCAACATTCAACCCGAAAATAGTCATATAACCATTGCAATAACTGAAGCTATTCAGTTAAGGTAAAAAAAACTGCATAGCGCGGCTTTAAGATATCGTAAAACTAATCCATATGAATCGAGCGTCTTAGTCTAAATTTTTTGAAGAGACATGATCACTTTGAATTTAGATTGATCACAGATTGACAACTCGCATTCATCAACTCGCACATCACATGTAGTAAAAGTATATTCGCTTGACATGCGAGAACCATTGAGGTTCGTTCTCGTGTTAGAAGCACATTCGAGCTTCAGCAAATAGATTGTTTATAACGCCATGTCAGCATCTAAGGCTTTTTTCAAGGCAAAAAATAAATTACATAAATATAAATATCATATAAATACAACAAAACCAAGCAAACAAGAAGAATATGCCTGAAAAGGTTTTGGATTTTTTATCATAAGTCCTTGAAATAACTTCATAAAAGAGCATTCTACTTGTATTATACCCAGGACAGTCCAATAAAATATGTTTAAAAGTGAGGGGAATCTTACAAAACATGCATAAAGTTGGGTCTTCACCTTTAAGCAAAAAAGCATGGGTCAAACTTGAATGACCTATACAACATCTGGTGAATAGTTTCAGCAAGAACCAATAAGGTTAATTCTCGTGTTATGCAACATGTTTGAGCTTCTGTAAGAACCAATGAGATTCATTCTCGTGTTACGCAGCATGTTTGAGCTTCCTCAAGAGCCAATGAGGTTCATTCTTGTGTTATGCAGCACGTTTGAGCTTCTGCAAAAACAAATGGTTCATACTCATGTGTTAGGCAGCTCGTTTGAGCTTCCTCATGAACCAATGAGGTTCATTCTCGTACGTCAAGCAGTTTTGGTTTGCTGATCATTGATTAAATGTAAATAAAAGCTTAAATTAAAAATGTTCGTCATATGAAGCGAACAAGTCTCTTCAGAAAATTTGGACTAAACTCAATTCATATGGATTAGTTTTACAATCGCTGTATAATATTTTTTAAAGCATCAAAATGGTAGTTGGGAAACTGCCAATGGAGGGACCGAAATCTCTCAGATTTCATCAAAAAGATCTTCATTTGTGTTCCGAAGATGGAACAAGATGAGGGTGAGTAAATGATGACTTTGAGTGAACTATCACTTTAAAAACTTCTGACCAATTGGCCTTATGCACAGCTGCACTACTTCCTGAACTTAAGCCAGCTCCTTGTTTCCTGTCTGCCATTATTGGTCAAATTGATTAATTCAGGTGTGTCTGATTATTGTTGCCGTGACTACTGAGGTCAGGCACACCTGAATTAATCAAGTTGACCAATAATGGCAGAGAGGAAACAAGGAGCTGGCTGAAGTTCAGGAAGTAGTGCAGCTGTGCATAAAGCCAATTAGCAGGTAGTCAGTCTTGCTTTTCGGGATTAAATTAAACCAATGTATGTATTTATGTAACTGAAGTAAAACAAAACGTATGAACACGAACAATCTACAAAAGATTAAAAAAAAGTTTTAAAATAAAATATAACTTGTAATAGTCTCATCAGTTTATGCAACCAGCCCGATGTATTTAACTTTCATGTAATACAGTTAGACTGTGTAAAACGTACCTGTGGCAAATCTGGAGTTGTATCCCTGTAAGATTTTGAATCTGTGCTGACAGTCTGCAGTGACAGCTGAATACACATGACCAATGTGAGGAGATGCATTGACATAGAAGATGGGAGTTGTGACGTAATATAGTTTCGAGCTCTGTGAATTATCTGTGCCAAAGCATCGCAAAGCCTGACAGTCTATCTTGTACACGTGTGGAAGACTTTTGTGGAGAGCATGTCTGGATAATCTCAGTACAATTGTTTTTGTACGAGCGAGAATACAACCCAGAGACCTCGGCTGCGTTCCAAACCGCATACTTCCCTACTATTTAGTATGGGAAAAAGAGTAGGCGAGCAAAAAAGTATGAATGAATCCAAAAGAGTAGGCGAGAATTACCTGGGTGACGTAGCAATTGTCGCGAGATTCGGACTTAAGTGCGTTCCAATATGCCTACTTTCCTACTATATAGTAGGCGAAAACAGTACGTGAAGGAAGCAGTACGTTCCAAACATCAGCTTTCATAAAAAGAGTAGGCGAGAAGTTCCCGGATGGCTTACTGCTTCCGCCCAGATTTTTGAGTGCTTTTCCACGGCTACTCATGATACTCATCTATCCCAGGAGGCCACGCGAGAGGATACGTCAATGCACATAGCTTGCAAACTGCCAATAAAAATCACAGAAGAAGAAGAAGAAGAAGAAGAAGAAGAGAGGATACGTCAATATCAACATCGCGGAGATAAGCGACGAGGGGGTTTTCAAATGTGAGTAAATACGGTTTAAATCGTATGTGTTAAACTACTATAGAGTAAACGTTTTAACTGTTGAACGTCTAAAGGAGTTAGACAGTATAGTATAGTTGTGATTTTGCTGTAAACACATGTTTTATTATGTATTGATAACAGGGGAGCTCCAGTAACCGTAAAGTTACGTTTCCAACGTGTATTTACATAACCATACATCTTAAAAACGCTTATTTAAAATGTCTATTTACATCAGGAAGGAAAATATTGTATAAGTATTGCAGGTGAGCACATCCCAACATGAAAAATACATGTGTGTGCTATTATGTAGGATAATTCACTGTTGTCAACACTGCTTACATTAGACAAATTATGTGCTGTGAATAAAAACATATATAAAGTAACTAAACATGATATATATTTAATTTGTCCCTTATTGGTGTTGATATATTGAGGAACATTTAAGTTGGATTAAAAGTGAGTTAACACATCAACCTCAACATGTAAATGCAGTGTTGAGCTCGTAATGTGAATCTTGTCTGTATGTTACAGGGACAGGAGAACACGCGTGTGTTTATCCAGTGGAGAGGCTCATGATGCTGAATGCTGTCATCAAAGAATGGGAACCGCTGTGTTGAGTCGGCAGTAGGGTTTGGGGTTCAGTGCCTGTAAATACATGCTTGTAGTTTGAATAAAGCTGTTTCATGTGTTGACTTGTATATGCATTTGTTTATTGTGATGGTTACTTTTATTTACTTTTATTTGTTCTTTTACTCATTTATTCATGTTTCTTATTGTTGTCAGTATATAAAATGTAATTAATTTATGCATTAATTCATCGATTGACTGACAATTGAGATGTTTCACTGCATTTAGCAATATAAATGAATTCATGCATTACTGTCATATTACAAAACAAATGACATTTTGCTTGTTTTATTAAATTATATTTTTAGTATATAAAAAGTTATATAAGTATTGGTCAGCATTTAATATTATTATTTTGTTTAAGTTTTGGGGTGGGCTAACAATTAAATTCATTCTGAGGTAATATTAATTTTTAAGCAGTGATACTTACATTTTTGGAGTATAAAATCAACAGTTTTCTCCAAAAGAGATCTTCAAGCAGCTGCCCGTCTCCTTTGTGCAGACATTACAAGCGCTGTTCTAGGTTGTGCTGTCAAGTTACTGATGTTATGAAGTGTTAGAGCACCTGTCGCTCATATAATTTAAACTTATTAATATGCAAGATCATGGAAAGATACTATAGTTTATGTAACAATCATAGTGACAAAACAGAAAATATAAAGATCATTGGTTTGTGTACATCATAATATGACATAAAATTATATTTATACACAGGAAATAAGAACAATAAAAAAGGCTAAATATCTTCATTATAGTTCTTCATAATACATAAAAAAAGTTGTTGTTATATCTGAGGGATGAAACGAGGTAAATTCATGAAGAAAAAGAGGAAAACTTAAAGGAGAAACTTTTTGGGTATAAAATAAAGAAATTAACAACATAATCAAGAGATGATGATTTTGGGGTTTCTTAATAAAAAAAAAGTATCGTTAGAATAACACTGTTGGTCAATAGGGTTTAAAATATAACAACTTAAATCAACCCTAAATGTATTCACAAAATAAATAGGCAGCTGTTTCTTCAACAATACCACAACAAAATGAGCAAGTTTCATCAATATCAAGATATTTATAGGTAGATTAATTAAACGTATCGTTCATATTTTTTTTAATTGCATGAAGGTGTTGCGCTTGTGATAACGCGTAGTAGGTCACATGATAACGTCAACATGGCAGATGTCCGGTTCGCATTCATACTCAACGAGATTTGGCTATAAAGTACCTACTCTTTTAGCGCTCGCTGAGTAAGTACTTATTGAAATTAAGTACCTACTCATTGAGTATGCGGTTTGGAACGCAGCCCTCATCACGAGACAGCTGTGAGGCGCGTGGGAGAACATCCGGGTCAACGCCGTCACAATTTACTTTCAAAGAAAAGGTCCAACAACCCTTCCCTACTTGAGATACAGTTGCTGTCATGTTTAAAATCAAGAGTTTTTTCGTTTAGTATTGTGTAAGATTAGGGGGCAGTAGCGTAAACATAGGCATTTTCTCAAGATTGTATTTTAAGAACAAGCTTACCAACTAGCAGTTAGACAAGGGTTTATTTTATGTAATAATGCACGGATGACTTTAAAAAGTCAAGACCACTCTTAAAGAGAAAAAAAGAGATGATTAGCTTACTCTGTGCTAAGAATACCTAAATAAATATTTCAAATAAATATGTAATATAGATAAATATTTAAACATGTCACGTTAAATATTTAAACGAATTGTCATTGCATTACTAAATGTACAGTGTACACACACACACACACACACACACACACACACACACACACTAAGTACAAAAAAAAAACACCAGTAAAAATCAAAGGGATTCAGATTAGAACCTTTGAGTTGGACCTTTTAGCTCCGCCTTGAACCGGAAGTGGTCCTGTTTTTTCATGAGCGGCGTTTATCATCCGCAGCCTCATTCCTCCAAGAAGTTACAATAGAATAATGAATTAAAACCGTATTATTTACTACTCACATTTTACAGATCGACCATCTAGTCCACATTTGTGTTCGGGCTCATTGTATTTGAGTAATCACATTGTTTTTAAGATGTCAGTAGTGGGTTTTGACTTGGGTTTTCTGAACTGCTATGTAGCGGTAGCTCGAGCCGGAGGAATCGAGACTGTGGCCAATGAATACAGCGACCGATGCACACCGTGAGTCTGCTTTATTCACTCATCCATAACTCAAATACATACAGACTATTGATCACGGCAACCTTTACCTGGAAATCTGCAGTTAACTGGCTCTCTATCTGTGACGGACATTGATCTGACAGTGAGGAGCCTCCCTAGTGCTGCTGCGTGATTGCAACATTCAAATATCATGGTCAAAATTACCATACTATTTTGTTTATAAATGGTACTTTCTAATTAGTGTAGATTGAGAAACAGCAGGCGGTTACACTAAACTTGTATCACTTCATTATTAAATGTTTTCCCTTTCTCTTCAGGTTATTCTACTTTTATTGTATTGTATTTAGATCGACACATTTTTAATGCATTTTCATGCTTATTTCCATATATATATATATATATATATATATATATATAAATCGATTAATTATATTGATATATAATATGTGTACTGCTATACAGTACTGCTCAAAAGTTTGGAAACATTACTTTTTTATGTTTTGAAACCGTTCTGCTCATCGAGCATTTATTTGATAAAATCAGCAAAAATACAGCAATATTGTGAAATATAATTACAATTTAGAATAATGGATTTCTTTTTAATATACTTTAAAAACATAATTTACTCCAGTGATGTCGAAGCTGAATTCTTAGCACCATTATTTTACTTTATTACATTATTTTTTATTTTGCTCCAATATTCAGTGTCACCTCATTCTAATATGCTGATTTATTATCAATGTTGGAAACAGTTGTTCTGCGTTTTTTTTATATAACCTGTGATCAGGATACTTTGATGAATAAAAAGTTGAAAAAGAACAGCATTTATTTAAAATAGGAATCTTTTTTCACAAGATACTCTACCATTCAAAAGTTTGGGGTCAGTAATTTTGAAAGTAATTAATTAATATATTTTTTTAAATACATTTATACTTTTATTCATTAAGGATGTGTTAAATTGATTTAAAAAAAGTGATAGTAAAGATTTTTTTGTTAGAAAATATTTCTATTTTAAATTAATTCTTTTTAATTATTTTTTTTATTCAGCAATGAATCCTTAAAAAGTGTCATATGTTTCAAAATCAGCATATTACAATAATTTCTTGGGATCATGTGACTGGAGTAATGACTTTGCATCACAAGCTATATATATATATATATATATATATATATATATATATATAATACCAGGACAGTCATTTGTTTGGCTATTTGTGTTTCACTACAGAGCATGTGTGTCTTTTGGGCCACGAAATCGATCTATTGGAGCTGCAGCAAAAAGCCAGGTTTGTGATGTGTTTTTTTTTTTTTTTTTTTCATATTAAACTGTTATTCCCTTAACTAAGACGAGTTAACTAATAACATGGTTTAATATGGAAAAAACAGTGGAGTATCCCTCTAAAGCTGCCTTCACACAGTCTTCATGTTTGTAATCATTACTCCTTTGAAACACAGATGGTCACCAACTGCAAAAACACTGTCCAAGGATTCAAGCGTTTCCATGGTCGGGCATTCTCAGATCCATTCGTCCAGAACATGAAGTCCAGTCTCGTTTATGACCTGGCACAGATGCCATCGGGCACAACGGGCATAAAGGTAGCTGAAAGTCATGATTAAGCAAACCGAGATTTAATTTCCATGTGCAAACACAACATGTTGTGAGATGACTGATCTGTGCCAGTATTGTTTAAAGCTCTAGTTTTGGCAGCAAAGCCTTCTTGTAAAGCCAAGCACAGAGTTCTGTTGTGCAATGAATGTGTGAATGTTTGTGAGCTGTTTCTGTAGCAGTCTTATTGTCTTATGATGTTGTTGTAGGTGATGTACATGGAGGAGGAGAAGGTGTTCAGCATTGAACAGGTCACTGCGATGCTCCTCACCAAACTCAAGGAGACTGCTGAGAGTGCCCTCAAGAAGCCTGTTGCAGACTGCGTTATCTCTGTGAGTTTAAAGATCACTAAAGCCCATTCGGACGGGACTACTTTTCTGAACGACGCTTGGGTTACAGTTCTTTTTAGATGTGGGCGTTACATTACAGGAGGTCATGTGATTGTGGTTGCGTGCATCTAGTATGATGTGTCGTTTAATTCATTATTTTTTTATGTAGATTTAGTTTATTACATGAGTTTATAGAAGTGGCTTCTTATAATAACTCACATGACTGAGCAGAGAAAACTAGATATGTCTTACTTGACACTAATAATAAAATGGCTTGTCTTAGAAATTTTCGTGATTTGACTTTACTCAATTTTATATTAATATTATATAACTTTTTCGCCGAATGCCGTTCATATTGAAAGTTGCAACGTGTGCAAACAGTTGGTCTGGTTAGTCAAAAACGTATGAGGAGAACCATCTCAATTACAGACAGAAGACAATCGAGTTTGCTGAAAAACAGTGAGGATATTTCTACATAAATCCGGATACATTTGAAAATGGCTTTTTTTTGGTTTTGAAATACTCTCCGTCCACACTAGCATTTCCCAAACGTTTCACATCCACACTGAAACGTCGGCAAACGCTAAAATCATAACAAAAAGACAAAACGTAAAAAAGATGTGTTTTCTAATGTATCCAATCCAGTTTAGTGTAGACATGTACAATTTGTACAGGTTTTGTGCAGTTTTGCAAATTTCAGTGCAAATTTCTCTAACCTCCTCTTAGTCCCATCCGAAATGGGCTTAATAGGATAGGATAAGCAAGAAAGGTTTGGTGAATGATCTGGGGTAATTTTTTCCCCTTAGTACATTTTCTGTAAATGGAGACAGACATAAATACTAGGGCTGTCAATCTTCCTCTATAATACTATTCGAATTCCATTCCTTATTTTATGATATATTCAAATAATAAATGCTCAAATTTATCCTATTATTATTAATATTTACGACATTACACATTCTTATGGATCGTCAATGCCACTATAGACTGTGGTTGTTGTTACATGTTCGGCCCACTAAATACTCACTCTGATATGATCACTTTCCTAAGTGAATGCTGTTTAAAATCCCTACTTCTAAGGTCCCCTGCTTCTATACCGATTCTGAGAGGAGATCCGTCATCGATGCAGCTCAGATTGCAGGACTCAACTGTCTGAGACTCATGAATGAAACCACTGCTGGTGAGTTGTTTGTGGTTTAATGTGCCGTTTCACTTGCAACACACCGATTTTCCACTCTTAAATGACACCTGTTTGTCCATGCAGTTGCTCTGGCGTATGGGATCTACAAGCAGGATCTTCCAGCTCCTGAGGAAAAGCCAAAGATAGTGGTATTTGTGGATATTGGCCATTCAGGCTACCAGGTCTCTGTGTGTGCCTTTAATAAAGGCAAGCTCAAGGTGCGTACCAATGACATTTATACCCTCGAAATGTGATCATGAATAGTATGTGAAATTATAGACGGATTGTTTTTTTTTTTTTCCTGCCCGGACAGATTCTTGCTACAGCTTTTGATGCTGAAATGGGAGGAAAATACTTTGATGAGAAGCTGGTCAAACATTTTTGTGACGAGTTTGCAGTGAAGTACAAGCTGGACGTGAAGACCAAGCCCAGAGCTCTGGTGCGACTCTACCAGGAATGTGAAAAGCTCAAGAAGCTGATGAGTGCCAACTCCTCAGACCTGCCACTGAACATCGAGTGTTTCATGAACGACATTGATGTTTCAGGCAAACTCAACAGGTACAGTTATTTATGAAGAAATCACTTGCAAAATCGTTAAAATCCTGTCCACCAAGCTGCTCTTTTTCTTAAGTCAAGGAAAAGGATCAAGGGGCTGTCAGGGTCCAAAAAGCATCTTAAAAAAAAAGTAATCAACATGATTTGTTTGCTAAATTAAAGAGTTCATCCCAAAATGAAAACTCTGTCAGTAATTACTCACTCTCATGTTGTTCCAACCCCCGTAAGACACTTTCGTTCATCTTCGGAATCCAAATTAAGATATTTTTGATTAAAAATGAGAGCTGGCTCACTCCTCCATAGGCTTCTAAGGGATCGAAACTTGCCGGCCCAGAAAAGTTATTAAAGACATCGTTAAAATAGTCCAATTGACTACAGTGGCTCAATCTTAAGTTTATCAAGCGTGCAAAAAACGTGACTTTATTCAACTATTCATTTCCTTCTCTGTGGGCCTCGAGATTTCACTAGTGTAACTGCGCACTCACACATGACCAGCATTGGCCAATAGTGAGCCTACG